GCTACAGTATACTCTAGCCACCCGACTTTGTTGTGCTTTGCCTTGTTAGTCACAATCTGAGATGCTCCAATACCGGATGGACCAATAGCTTCCATGAACTTGTAGGCTCGTTGAATCATTCCTTGTCCAACAAACTCTTCACTTCTTCGGGTAGTGGCGCTCATTGTGCGATAGTGGCACATAAAATAGATCGCATTGCTGGGTTTCAGCTTAGATACTGGACCACCGGCCTTAGGATTGAATGCTGACAGTGCCATCTCTCGTATCTGGTCCAAGGACACCCATTGCTGTAGCTGAGCCTGTATATCCTCACAATTGTTAAGAACCCTGAATGCAGCTTGACTCTGTACTGCTTTGCAAGAGTTCTGGATTGACAGTGACTCGCCAACTTTGATCTGCTCCAGAATACCAGCAAACCCAGCTTCGACTAGGCGGCAGTAATGCTCGCATTTGATATTAGTATTGAGAAAGGTCTTTGCTTTAGCCATAACTGATTTGCAGCCACCACATTCTTCCATAAGCCACTGGAAGAATTGCACCGGTAGTTCCTTGTCATACAGGTTGGAGTTTTGAATATCTGCCAGTTTCCGCTGGTCGTACAGCTGCAAGCCAAATTTGACTTCCCATGGTTCCCTATTCGAGACTATCGATTCACAGAAGAAGTGCCATCGAGGCCAGATTGGACCAAAGAAATCCTCCGTGGACTTGGTACATATATCTGCCTGTCTCATGCCAGCGTACAAATCAACCATCTTTGGCTTTTTGAAGCCTGACTTCTTCTGATACTTTGGTTTTGAATTTGCTTGGCCCCTGCCATCAGTCAGCTCTGGCTGTGAGATTTCATCAGCATCGTCTCCCTCATTGATTGGGTCGCCATTGTCATCAACCAGAATTTGGGGGATACTATCCGTTAGCTCGCTAGCAGCAGCGTTTTCTTCCCTAGCTCTGGCAAGATCAGGAAGACCACTCATCTTCTACTAATACTATGGATGACAGCAAGAAAGCTTGGTTAATTATCTCAATAAAGACACTATGATGGCAGCAGCACTACCATGCCACCATGGCAGCAACAACAGGCCTGGTGGTTCATTTTTGAATGCTCCGGTGCACTTATTTGTTACTGTCAGGGGGGCCACCATGCTCTCAGAGCCAGGCATGGCGGCAAAGAAGCCAACCGGTAACTAGGGACTGATTTGAGCTGCTCAGGCCAGTCCCTATTAGTACTGGCAGTTAGAGGAGGCATGTTTGGGAATGTTTGCCGGAAACCCAGGGGGGAGCCCCACAGGGCTGCAGTACCAGAGGGAGGGTTAGGGTTCCCGTAGAAGTCACCCAGGAACAGAGAAGGGTCATTCCTGGCATTTTCCCATTATTTCACCAAAACAGTTGCGGATCGGACTTTTAACGAATAATTATTATAAAAATTCGAAGGAGGTGACAGAGCCAAGTTGCTGCCAATCCGATAGCCTTCCAGCTCAGCAGGATTAACAGGGTGTGGGATCGACTTGAACCGCGGTCTCGATAACCAACAACGGCAAAGAGCACAGAAACCCCTCTCTTGCATGACGAAAGAAGAAAGTAAGTGGAAGCAACGACAGGAAGCTCTGGAATGGAAGTCCTGGACTTGTTCTGTATGGTATCGTAGAAGATGGGATACTCTGTGATTGGTGTGCCTGCCGTTGGTTGTTCAGTGAGTGGCGGAATTGGCGAAGAGGCCTGCCTTCTTCCCACAAGTACCGTATGATCATGAAGGGTTGATATCTGGAGGATTGGGAGATACTTTGTTTTGTTGGTGTTTGTCAAGTAGAGGAGGAATTGATTTCTTCATTCCATCTCGAAACGATGATACCCTGATGTTCTGGCTGCAACTTCCCCGTGATACCCTCAAAATCTCACCAGTTTTGGTTTTATTGTACGCCCTGTAGAAGTTGTACTGAGGGCTACGTGGAAGAAACCCATCCAAGCTATACTGAGAACTGCAGCTAGCTAGCTAGCAAGCTGGCAATCGTACATGCACTGAGCAAGAAAAATGGGCCCAAGCCGGTGGGACAACAGAGACAGACAAGACAGAGAACCTAGATACTCAAACGACGAGCCTAGTAGTAGATACAGCGGAGGAGCTCGTTCTTCAAGAGACAGCCGTGGGAGTCCCGGAAGTGGTGATAGGTCGGGCCGTGATGAAGGCGGTGGTAGACGGTCCGAGTCCGGAAGAAATCAGCGCGGGTATCGTTCCATCAATGGGGCACAATCCAAACGCCATAGAGGTACTATCTCGGTTTCATCTTGAAGGTTGTGCGCCAGCGGATGCTAGGTAGAAGTCAATCTCCGCCTAGCATCTGCTTGGCTGCCGCTTCCTTCCTTTTGATACATCTCCAAGAATGACGAACACGTTTCTCACACCTTGCTATCACTGATGGTTGTTACGTATACATGCGTGCTTATATTGTTTATTATAAATCTTGCATCGACTCGATTCGGTGTGGTGCAGAGTACGATCGGGACGGCTATGATGACGACAAAGACAGAGATCGACGCTACCGGTCCAACAGTATGGACGACGCCAGGAGCCGTGACAAGTACTATGAGAGTGGTGGTGGTGGTGGTGTAGACGATAGACGGTCCAAGCACGATGACGACTACTACGGAAGAGGCAGCCAGAGGCGAGAGGAAGGACGTCGCGATAGCGGAGACGGTCGATATGGTCCTGCCGATGCTCGCGGCAGCAAGCGCCGCTCTTCGAATGATCGTAATGACGGTGCTGATTGGAAATGCAGGGAGGTGAGCCTGTCCACTCGGTGGACAATTTCTGTATCAATTCTAGTTGCAGACGGAAACTCGAAACGTATCGACCTCTTTGGGTGGTACTTGCTTTTGTGATTTTGAGCTTGTGTCGGATCTGACAATTGTTACTTACGCATTCAATCAATCAATCAATCAATCAAAAGTGCTCTGTTTGGAACTATCCGGACGAACGACAGTGTGCTCGATGCGGCCTGAAGAAATGGTTGCCGGAAGATGACGACAACTCTCATGGCGATCGTCGTCGACACTCGGAGTCATCTTCCGAGAGCAGTATGGACGAGTTTGGTAGAAAATCCAAAAAGAAAAAGAAAATAGAGGAAGAATGGCCTCCGAATTTTCAGGATCACAGCGAAGACTTTGTGCTGGACTCCAGATCTGGCATGTTCTACGAGAAGAATTCCGATTTCTTCTACGATCCTACCAGCAAGCTCTACTACGGAAACAAAAAGCAAGCATACTTTTCCTATGATGCCGAGAAAGACAAGTTCGTCGCAGTGGACGAATCTGACAAGCTCCCCCCTTCTGGCTCGAAAGGTGCAACGGATACAACCGCTGACCAAGACCACCTGATGCTGGTTCCTCAAGGTGCCAACAACAAAGCTGATCCAAACAAAAAGATGATCGCCATCAAAATCAAGACGGTGCTCGCCAGCCCCAAGAAAAAGAAAAAGCGTCTGGATACCGCAAAACTTGATGACGAAAAGAAAAAGATGCCAGCCCCCGGTGACAATACTGCAGCAACCATCAAAGTTCAGAAACAGCATGCTGCAAGTTTGGAACGCTGGTCCGGGCGCCAGGATGAGATGGGAAAGGTACGGCTCAACGCAGTCAAGGGCAGGCCCCGGTTCACCAAAGATGGCAAGCCAATTTGTTGGCTGTGCAAGCGAAAGTTTGATGACCTTGGGAAGTTACAGAAGCACGAAGAACTCTCGACAATGCACAAGGAAAACCTAGCCAAGCAAGAAGAGCAAGGAAAGGAGACCAAGCCAAAGTCTGATGACAGTGGTCGTTACATTGATCGTGCCCAGCAGCGCCGCGATCTCTACGGCCCTGAACTGGCGGTTCCAGATGCACATCCTGTGGATGCAGACACAAGCATGCAAGTAGACGACAATGAGCCACCGGCGGACTCCTCGGAAAACGTTGGCCAGCAAATGCTTCAGAAGCTAGGTTGGAAAGCTGGGACAATGTTAGGACGTGGCAGCGACCAGCAAAAGGAGCAGCAGGCTGCCCTGGCGCAGGATTGGAGCCGGATCGAATCTCTTGCCGCCAAAAACAAGAGCCAGCAGCCAGGTCGCCGTAGCCTTCGTTGAGTGTTTTGTTTGTAGCTGTCCGAATTGGATTCCTGTAGTACTTGGAAATGGTTGAGATGCTGATGCCGTGACTGGTATCTACTGCATCATATTATAGGCACTGCGGAATAACACCATAGTAAAGTATCTCCCGGTTTGAGTTGTCGTTTGTAGTTAAACGTGGTCTTTGCATCAAACCCGAAGCGAGAACGGTTAAGACAGTCGGTTGATGTTCCCTGTTTATAATAACGCAAGGTTCTGGCTTATTGCCCTGCCCAAAGAGCAAAGAGCTACTGGCTAGCTAGACGGCAATGAAGAGAGGCTTAGGGAAGACGCAATGAGAGGCTGTGGGGCAACCTTCGTCTTGGTTAGTAGTACATGTACTTACTTTCAAACTCCGGTTTGTTCATCACGACTTTTGGTTGGCTGTTCCTAGGTTACGATGGTGGCCCGAGTAACCGAGCCTCAATCCTCCCACCGGTACCAGTACGAACATCTACAATAGGTACTGGTAGCGGTGCTGGTACGGGAAACGACAAAATGACCGCGGCCCGACCAGCAGTGAACAGTTCACTGCTGGGAAATGGGGAAAAAGCACCATGGTGCACCACAAACAGACCAACAAAGCTCCAACAAGGACCACTCAAGATTTCAAGCAAGCTTAGCCAATTCACAAGTCAACGAACAAAAAAGGCTGAAGGCTACGGTATCGGACCGTACCGGTAGTCGCCCTCTAATACCTCCGTGCCGACCACTTCAACCACTCAAAGCGTGCCGTACCAATACCAAAACGTCAAAACGTCAAACTCGCATCCTCACAGTTCGCAGTAAGTCCATGAATGGTTCGGGTCATTTATCCCCAGACACAGTGTGTCTGGGGATGACTTATGCATACTTGCTTACTTGTTTTGCATTGCAACCGACGAAAGAAGAGTATTTAATGAATGCGCACTTACTTGTTGTCGTCTGCTTCGGGCCAGTCATTTCGAAAATAAGCAAAAAGACTCGGTTGACGCGCTCGAGTCTCACAGTGCACCACTCAGTACCGTACCGCTGTACGGTACTCATTCAAGCAGGAGAAGATAGATTATAATCTTCTTCTTTCCACTTTCCGCACGACCAGCCAAGACTCCTCCTCCGTTTGACATTAATAAGTACTGTATAATAGAATGACCGAGTCATTCGAAACACAATAAGTACATAAGAACAGTAGTTTACTCAGAACCGTGCTAATCATTAAACCTTTTACGCCAATAAAAGCTACTGAACCAGCTATAATACTTTACCCCCGTCAAGAAATAAATGTCTGGGCGCCATAATGACTCTGCAAAAAAAGAACGTGAGAGAAGACTTGGAGTGCATACATTTCAAACTCAATAATAAGAAAGCTCCAACTTGGAGTCAGTACTCGAGCGTTCTTACCAATAATTTGCTCTATTTTGCTACTCATACTTTTTCTACTCTTGGATACATCCAGTGCACCGGGCCCTTTGGGTCCAACATGCTTAGGAATCTTTTAATTAATTGGTTTGGGTCAAACACAAATGGTGATCACTGTCTCTGCAGATTTTGGCTCAAGTTAGTGTCAGACTAGTAGAGTTTCCTGTTCTTTGAGGTCTCGATACTGGGAGGTTTTCTTAGTAGTCTGTGATATTTCAGTATAAAAAGATTCAAATCTTAATCTGAGCACTCACTTGCTTATTCAGAGTTTCTTACATTCAGGTTTGGAGTGTGCAGTGCTGAGTGTCAGTCGAGTCCAGTCCTCAATGATTCAGCTCGGACTGGAGGAAGCGCAAACAAAATCCAAAACCACCCAGTTTTACAGTAAGTCCCCTGATTGGCTCGGGTCATTTTTGACAAATATGCCCTGTGTCTGGAGATGACTTTCTGGTTGCATCACCTCACCGATGAAAGAAGATTATTTAAGGTGATTACCCCTTCAATAGCCTTAGCACGAGCAGCTGCACGAGCCTTGCGCCAAGATCCAAGGGCGAAGAATGATCAGAACCGACCATCCAACTTCAGCCGAAGACGACCAAAGATACTCAAGGAATTCAGCTTGCGAGCAAACAATATCCAAACGGCACAATCCTTTGCCTTTTGCCATAATTTCGAGAACCCCTCACCAAAACCAACAAATGGCGACAGGAGCTGGATCCAACGGTGCAGGAGCACGAGACAATGGCGGCCGAAGGAAAGTCCTCCATCTTACCCGAGATGCGGTTGTTGGTGAGTGACAGCCTAGTGCTTGGTGCTGGCTTGGTTGATCTTTGGTCATTGTCTCTCCGCTCTCATTTCGCATTGCCTGTTCTTGCCTGTTGTTGCCCAAGATCGTGCGTCAAGGAATTGGGTCGAAGAAATCCGACCCATCAAGCATAAAACAGACGAAGTGTGGTATGCAATCGATAGCAGCTGCTGTCTGCATACTATGATCAGGTCCTGTGAGACGGTCGAGAATGGGTACGCTCAAATGTACCAACTCCGCGCGCCGGTCCAACAAGAGTTTGAAGATTCCGAAAAAGAGTTGGAACGATCGTTGAAACAAGTGCTGGCTGGCCAAGAAGACGCTGACATTGAAACTCTCGCCCAACAGATCCAAGCCGAGGAAGGAGTTGTGGCAGCGGCCCAACGCGAGCGTTCCCAGGCCAACACGACAAAGAGAGCCTGGTTGGAAAAGCGTCGAGAATTCATGCGTGATCTTGAGGCGCAGGCTGCGGACCTGAAGAGACAAATGCAGGAGTTGGAAACAGAGATGGGTGGTATGGGTGTTCTTTCTGATTTATCCAGTGACCAGCGCTATGATTTTTTAGTCAAGAAGCAAAAGATGAGAAAGTTGCAATTGTCCTTGAAGGACTGCGAAGACATCATATCTAACCCATCCCTGTTGTCTGGCTATTCCGTTGACGACTTGGACCAAAAGGCCGCGGAAGCAACAGCCAAGGAAACGGCAGCCAACACAAAGAAGCGGGAGTTGGAGAAACATTTTGAGGCCAAGGATACTCTTTCCCTCCTGAGACAAAAGCTTAGAGAGGTCGGCAAACAATTGGCGGAGTTTATTCGTATGCAATCGGATGCAAAAAAGAGGCTTGAAGGTTATATGAAAAGAAGCTCCAAGGTTCCTATGTCTCCCGATCCTCACTGATAGACGTGCCGCTTGCCATTGCCCTCCGGGAAGAAAAGGTTCAAAGGGCCCCTCCTCATTTGGTTGAACTTGCTCATGTTCTGAACTTTGTAGACGAGAAGTTGTGGGCAGTCAACTGATTCATTGAGCTGCAAAATGGAGACGAGTACCGGATTGAACCTCTTCCTGTTTTGCCTCACCGATTTCACACCTAGCACTTCTAATTTATATTCCTTTCATTTTCCAGCAAACTCCATTGCAGCATCCCTGCTTCTTTTCGTCTAGACCTAATAGTTACATACAAAGTACATATATGGGACCACCTTCACTATTTTGCAGCATCCCTGCTTCTTTTCGTCTAGACCTAATAGTTACATACAAAGTACATATATGGGACCACCTTCACTATCCAAAATGAAACTCAATCCCAAAAGCAAACTGGCAAAACCTCACTTCTTTATTACAGTGGTGGTATCCCTATAGGTAGCCGCAGTGAATTTATTCCATTCTCCTTGAGCTGCTCCAGCCTTTCATGGCTTGAAGTCCTCGCGTCGTCGTGTCGATTGAATCATTGCATCATTCCGTTGCAGCTTGTCGCGCGACGGAAAATCGTCGTTTTGGGCTCGATTGTACTGGGAACTCCTCTGTTGGTCTACTCGAAGTCTTCTGCACTTGTAAATGCTTGTATTAGCAGTAGATAGGTCTACTGCTGTGGAGTTCATGGGATGGGATAGGCTGGTCTCGAAGATTCAGCCCTCGGCCTTGGATAGGACAAGCACTGGATACACGAACTTGCGTATCTTCGTCAATATTTTGGGACTGGAGGCTGCCGTTTGGCACTGCATACGCATCAGTGTCTCCTCTTTCTGTGTCGAGCACAAGCTACCATCAAAGCGGAAAGAGGAGCTTCTCAGCTACATGCAGATAGGCGGCAGTCTCTAGCTAGTTCCAGATATTCATCAAGATACGGTTAAACACGTTGAAGCCACTTTTGAGTCCGGACACACAAGGTAGCGACGCCGGGGGCTGAATCTCCGAGTACATGCAACCCCAGCCCATGCAACTCACACAGTCGACTTCTCTAACACTACCACAGATATCTGCTGCGAGAAAGCAGCACCACGAAGAGAAGGAGCAGTGCCAGGTGTGAGCTCCGGAGCAAGGAACCAAGCTGATTTTTGTGTGCTTCGGAAACAGCCATGGAAGAAGACGGAACTATCTATAAGCGCGAGGAAGCGCAATCGTTTCTGCTGGTATCACGTCTGATGCTATTGCTGCAGGCACGTGCTATGACAAGGGGTCCTCCGCTGCCGTGCTTCCTTGATGGGTTCCTCCAAAGGGATGAATTATATATCGGATCCAGTCCGTGTTGTAGGGTTTCCATCCGTGTCGGGAAATGCGGTAGCTTACAGCTTACCCTTCACCCCTGTAGCTGTTGAACATTCCGGAAATCCCATTCTGGCTAGTGGTGTGTGAAACAGTGGCGGGGTACGGATACAAGTATACATGATGTGCGTGGCTTCGGGGCAGCTACTTTGCGGTAGTGAGTTTTTAGTTATCTAGTTTAATTTCAGATTCGTTTCGTTTCCAGGAAACTGTCGGGCCAGGCAGTTGCTGCCAGCGATACAAAACTTTTAGGGGGGGACAGGCGCACCCGAAGGGGGCACAAGGGGGGTGCAGGTACCCCATTCAGCCTCCCGTAACTACTAGTGCTAGCCAGCTAGCTTGACCAGGCACCAGCTACTGGACTGAATATGCTTTCCCGCCCGCAAGGCTCATGTTGCTTGGTTCTGTAGCTACTTGTAGTGGTTGTATCCTAGCTAGTCGTCTCTTTGGTTTTTCTTTCAGGGGTCTGGCTGGCAGCATGGGAGACAGTTGGTAGCTAAGGATTTTGCCTGGCTTTGAGGCAGCTACTTTACTGAATAATTCTAATTGGATCTAGTTTCAATTGCTTTCATTTCCAGCAAACTACGCACAAGTCAAGGAAGGAATTCAGCCATCTTGGGAGCTAGGTGCATGGGCAGGCAAAACATGTGCTAGCTAGCTATGTGCTGGTGGTACTGTCGTTGGACTGTCGGTGCTGGGGCCTGCAGTGCTGAGCATTCTACCAATGCTGGGGCTGAAAGTGATTGGCTGAATCAGAAGTCCCGGGGAGCTATCAATCGCTGCGGCTATAGACTAGCCGGCCTTGATTGGACAAGCAACACGCGCAGTTAGACTTCCTATGTTATCATACTGTGTTGGGAGAGGTGCTTGGGTTGGAGCTTGGATTTGTTCTTGGCTCTCCGGTGGATTTTTCTTGGACGGCGAAAGATTTGTTGCTACTTTGGCAAATAATAAACCTAGACTTGCGCGGTGGTGAATGCACTGCAATAGCTGCTAGGTGGAGTGTCAACAAATCGAATGGTTTGCTTGGGCCGTGAGCCGTGAGCCGTGAGCTCTACGTACTGGCAGCCTTTTGCGTCGTTGTTGCTTGCTTGGGTGCTGCCTGTGAGTTATCTGTGTATCTATTAGCTAGACTGAATCGAATCTTCAATCATGGCCATCAGAGGATTGTGTAAGCTGTCACCACCGTAAAAATGCTTTGACCCCGCAACTCTGGAAAAAGGAGGCACCACGAAAGTAAAGCCATACGGAACCCAGCACCGAAGGGGTACACACATTCACCCAACCTGCGCTCCTCACTACTGCCATTGTGGGTATGGGACAAGAAGAAGGAAGACAGATCTAACTCCACCTACTCTAAACCCCCTCCTCACCTACCCTGATCATGATCCTAACTAGCCAGCCAGCCAGTAGAGTGCCATGCTATTGAATATTGCCAGCTTCGTTGGCAGTATCTGTGCCGAGTTATCTTGCACATGTAGAGAGACTCGACTCTAGCTACTGATGGAATATTCCACGGACCTCTCCCAGTACTGATGCTCAGTTCGTCCTCTCCGAACGACTTCCTTCGACCACTGACACTTGATTCAGCTCTGGTTGGCCAGACTGCTTGCAGTTCAAGTGCTTTAAGGAGTTGAGAAGTTTTCCTTCTCTTCTTCCTTTGAAACTGGTACCACAGTACTGTCGCCGCACTCTGCATATCTAGCTATAAGCTAAAAGCTAGCTAGTGGCTACACGTACAGTAGATCTAAAAGCTGGCAAGTTGCTTGAGCCAGTTCCAAGACCTGCTTGCTTCACCTATCCTTTATCTGGGTGCGCACCTTCTTTTTACTGGGAGAAGGCGGTACCAGCGCAGCTTGGATGGACACGTAGTTCAGAGCTTCTTGGCTCTTGCTTCCTCAACAAGAAGAAAGGGAAAAATGCACAGATATAATATCGAAGGAACTGACGTTTTGGATCGGGGTCATCCCATACTCGATTAGATTAGCATCCGCTGCATCTCCACTTCCAGAATGCAACACCTCATCAAGATGTAAGGCACCGACCGCTTGGCGTCAGCAAGCTGTTCTCCGGGATAGAACAGTATGCGGCTCTGCCTTGATTTCAGAACCTCTTGAACTTTTGCTTGTCCCAGCGGCTGTGAGGATAATCGTCAACTAACTGTGCGGTTTGACGATCAACGATCTCTTCCGTCTGCATCTGGATCGCTATGTAGCTCTTGCTCTACTAGATAGCCAGCTATTAATTAATAGTTAGTTATATGTAGCCGGTGGAGACGAGTTGAAGATATTTGAGAGGCGCGTTTTGTATGAGTGTCATTTAAATCTCACTGCTCTCGCTGAAACATTCAGAATCATTGAGATGTTCCGTGAATATTTGCTTGCAGCTCTCCAGCTACAGCATCTTTGGGACAACCTTACCGGAGCTCTTACCGGTATGCCTTTTATTCTCCGAAATGGGATGAACTCCTTGAAATAAATATTGAAAATTAAATATTAGAGTCTATATATTATTATTATGCCTGCTGTTGCTCAGTACAGTACTAGCTATCTAGTACTCCGTACTCAGTACGCAGTAATCTATACTGAAGGAAGTACTACCAGGTACTAGTCTACTAGTCTACGTAGTACAGTAGCAGATTATTTCTTTAGTCGATTCTCTCCCTGAGTTCGCGCGTTCGCACTCAACACTTAACAGTCGAAATTCAGAATTGCAGGTCGTAAAGTTGAATGACCGGAAGAAGGGAACCTTAGCTTCCAAAAAAGGGTACAGTACTCTTTACTAAGAGTAAAAATGAGAGTAGTCTTCTCTGAGAGGTTTAGGAAAAGAACCACATTTAATGGATCAGAGACTGTACTCGTAGTGCATCTGCCGCTTATATCTTATTTTAGACTCTTTTTTCGCTGGTAATCTACTTAGTACACTCGAGTACGAGTGGCGCCTCGATGACACACATTATGTACCGAACGTACCGGTACCATGGTACCTGGTACCAGTATGCATGTACTGGTACCGATGCATAGAGCTTGCATAGTCTAAGAGCTGCTACATGTAACATGTACTAGTAATATTGTAGCTGCTGATCGAAGATGGCGTCTGAGATCGTCTGAGAAGCAAGGGACGCTGCAAGTTTTAAAGACTGAAGAAAGCAATGATCAGGATTTAGTGTCAGTTACACCTAGTACGCTTTCTTTCGAAACAACCGTATGAACTGCTTTTGACGCAACGGCTGGGCTTCCCACGTCTTATTGAAACTACTAGTAGTATGACTTCAATTAAAGTCTTACTCTAGCTAGTATACCGGTATAAGCTTATATGATTGCGATGATCATTTATTTGGAATTGCCTTGAGTAGTGTTGAAGCTTTCTTGCTTCGATCGACTTCGTAAGCTGCGACAGCTCTTCTATTGTTGAAACCTAAGATTTAGGGTTTGGATGGGACTCGCTGTCAGACCACGACACGATGCCACTCAGCGGCTTTTCGATGCTTCTGCGAACTGTTAGAGCGGCAGTTCATAATCGTACCATAATCGTACAGTCCACCAACTGATATCCAGCATCCGATAGCTGGTGTACACTCAGCTTCAATCCGCAACTTTGCGGAACAAACCGCTCTGGATAGCTAGACTAGCTACTGGTACTAGCTCGCTGGGACAACCATGCCAATGTTCTGCCCCGACCTCCGAATCGATCAAAAAGTACGGTACCTCACAAAATTGATTTGCCCAGGCTTTAGCTCAAATCTGTTCAATCCAGGAGATCTTTTGGCTCGACCTGACCAACCATGACCATTCCTACCTTTGTGATTGTTACCTCATCCTACCATCCAGCGGATGACGATGATCTTTCTGTGGTTTCATCCGATTGCTCCATGGTGGACGACAAGCAGAGCTGCTGCGCTCCTGATTCTCCCACCAGTACTACTACGACTACAAGTTCGTTTGTGAATGGATGCGGGAAAGGTGGCCCTGATCGCTGGGGATCTTCTGAGCACAAGAGCAAAAGCAATAACAGCTGCTGCAGTCATGGCTGCGGCGGCAGTGCGGCCCATTCTCATGCTGCTGATGGCCCAGACTTACCCTTCAGCCCCGTGGCAGGTTCGGTTCATAGTCGTCTGAGCAATCACTCTCGTCGCTTTTCCAGCAACAGTGCAGGCCTTGCTGCCTTGCCAAGATCGGCTTCCAAGAGACACTTGCTCAACTACGAAAGCCTTGCAGAACGAAGACGAGACTTGGCAGCCATGGCAAACAGCAATCATGGCAGCGAGGGCGCTGCAACCCACCCCATCACAGGCCCTTTGACCGGTGCTAACAGCAAGCTGTCGTTGCCCCCTAAAGTCAACATTCGAGCGCTCATGCGAACACCCCAGGGACGCTGCTCACTCTGTCCACCACCAAGACCCCAGAGACTTGCCAGCAACGGCGAGAAGCAACAGTAGCTTGCGCTTGCTAGCTAGAACTGGTTCACAATTGCACTTAATATATAAAAAGACTACACGCATGCTTACACAGTTTGAAGTTGTCTACCATCCGTGTAGAATGTAGTGTACCCTACCGGTATAGCTTTCTGTACGGCTTTCCATGGCTTGCCCCGCCTCTTGTTTGCTAGCTCATCAAAATACTGCACTTGTGCTTGCAACCAGCAGCTGATCACCGTACTTGTGCCCTACAAGATTCATCATTCAGCCATGCTTCTCAAGCTTCCATCAAAGTTCAACTCACTGGGCACGTTCGTCATCCTCGCCACAATCACAGGAGGTTCCAGTGTAGCTTTTGCCAATTGCAGAACTTTGCGTCTTCATCTATCCGTCACCACGTTGGGTCCAACGAGGAGGATCCGAGGCTTGCTCGTCAGAATCCTCAGTCAATTGCTGCTACCGTGACTGTACTAGTTGTCGCTAGTAGGTAGATATCATCATTGCGTAGATTTGTTTGCCTCTGTGTCATGCAGGCGCTAGAATATGCATGATTAGGTCTGTTGTTTTCAGTTCATTCAGCGTGCTACAAGACGGAGACAAGAGATCATCCTCCCACCACAATCAGAGGAGGTTCCACCAAAATGAATCGAATCAAGACTCCAGGCTAGCAGGGGGGAAACAGAAACGACTTCAGCTATCTAGCTAGACCAACTCGTAACCTTCGCCAACTGCAAAACTTGGCTTCTCCGTCTACACATGTTCTGTGTCACTGCGGTACGGTACAGTGTACAACACAGCTATCACTACTCTTCGATACTATCTGATTTGTCGCTGGTGTGGTCGCAACCAATCACTTGCCTCTGGCTAGAGGCTGTCTCCCTTGGGTTCAGAATCCGATGTAGTGTAAAGTACTACTGACTAGCTAGCAGCTTCAATGGCTCTTGGGGATGGGCAAAATTTGCAATAGCCCTGTATTGTATTGGAGTGTGACTCGCCAAAATCAGTTAAAAAGACAAAATTCGTATGTTTACCGGAAGATAAATTTAATTGGATTGCATTGGATTGGATTGCATTGAAATGGATTGAATTGGATTCCAAATAGTACTGTTATTTATATAGTAAACTGTAATTCAATGCAATCCAATCTAATCCAATGCAATCCAATCTAATCCAATAGAGAAAAACAGCCAAAGTAAAAGATTGGCTTAGCGCACACAATTTTTACAAAAACGCTCTAACAAATTCAACACAGAGCCATGGGCAAGTTTGCTCATCCCCCTTGTGAAAGATTGGCTGATGACTGGAGCAGAGTGACGAGTCGAGTCGAGTCAGGCCACGTTACTGTTGTTGGCTGGAGCCTCGAGGCTCACTGCCCCCTCGCTATTTATTGTCCATGTACCTGGTGCGCTGTACGTACTATAGTACTTCTATCCCGTAGGCATGCCATTCACCCTGACACCCTGACAGCTCCCGTAACCACTGTGTCAAAGCTATTCCAGAATATTAATACGGTCTGAGACAAAAATTCTGGACAGATTTTTGGCTGGGAGCCAGATTTGGCCCAGGTTATGTGCCAATAATAAGCGGACCTGCACCCAAATTATCTGCTAACAATTTGGGTAGCAGACTTAACAGACCGGTACTAAAAGCACACCCTGATGCACCCGTTCCATTAACAGGCAGGTCAATTTCTATTTCAAAACCCAAAAAGCTGCAAGATTTTTTGTCTCATCGCACCGCACCAGTACTAGCTACTAGTAGTACAACACAACACCAACAGATACGTGTAGCCTCGCACAGCACCACAAAGCCAACCTCAACATGCATGACAATGGTGGAGGAGCGGCTGATCGCTACTACTAGACCACATGTACTACTATTACGGGTAAGTGTATTATCAAGTGTGTTATTATTGCTGATGGCGCAACACTGACTTCTCTCCCTCATTGAATTCGTATGGTAAACAGGAGGTAAATCCAAGCTTGGCCGACAACAACGGTGAGTGCTTTATCCAATCGGCCTCACTCGAACGACATTGAGGTAAGCCTATTATCAAGAGTGTTAATTGAAGGTACAGCGCTGACTTCTCTCCCTCATTGGATTTCTATGGTATTCAGGAGATAAATCCGGGCTTGACCGTCAACAGGTGAGTTGTTCTTTAGTTATTCGAATCGATCGGTCGGTCGCACCTCTATTATCTCTATTGTCAAGCCTCACTCAAGCCGGTCGTCTCCGGTGCAGATTCGAAAGCCATCCCTCATTGAATCCTATGGACCATGGGATGGCAGTCAGTTCTCAGCCATGGACGGCCAAGTTGGTGTAGTTTGAAAAACAAGAGTAAGTCTCCGGTTTTCTTCAGTGTCAGAATAGAAGAGAAAACCATATCTATTTCTTACTTTCTCTTCTCTTACTGCCGACGGCCGAAGAAGTAACACGAGCTTTCCTTCAGGACTGGTCTGCCGCCACAACAGCCACATGAAGATCGTCGAATCATTCCATCCATTGTCGAATTGCAAGCTATCCTCTCGACTTGAGCTATCAGAACATGCACGGCTTTCTTGGTGGTGATGCAAACGACCATTTATCTGGCATTCGTCTACCACCATCCCATTGGTTTCCTGTCTCCCTCCTTGTATGATGATGAGCGACAAGATCCTGTCCTTCCTGTCTTCTTCCTGGCAAACGGTTTTTTCTTTTGGGTGGTGCGGCCTTCTGGACCTCCGGGTTTGTCTGGCGAATTAAGGAAGATCACCAATCCGCCATCATTTGCTGGGCTTGTCTTCCACCGCTCTCCTCCTCCCGTCCTATTCTTGCTTACTCAATCTAGCTACCGTGCCGTACGGCGCATTCCGGTTGCTTGCATCCTATTCGTTTTGTCCTGCTGTTTGTCGTTGCTTTGGTTCGTTCAGTGTGCTTTTCGTCGTTGTTTTTGGTCCTGGCTGTTGCACACTTGACGAATAATTAGGCCTCTTGCAACACCGCGTGCGCTGCCTAGCTACCTGGTACCAGTAGCTAGCTATGCCTCGTACCGGTTGCTCTATCTATCTGGCTAGCTAGATAAGAAATATGATAGTTACTACCTAGCTAGCTAGTAGCTAGTAGGGCGTTTGACAACAAAGTCAAACCGTTTACTTGGATGTTTAGTCCGCTACGCCGGCTTGACCCCAGAGTTGATTCACTAATCAACCTTGACTGAGCTGACAGCGAACTGCACCGAAGCCGACTCGACTCGGAATCTCTCACAATGGCCAAGCCATCATCAGCAGCATTGTAGATTGTAGTATCAGCGTTCGAGTTGACACTGTAGTCTTGTTGTAGCGAGACAGAGAGATAGATAGAGAGATAGAGAGAAAGACCGTGACGAGACGAGGAAAGGAGACGTACGGTACTGGTGAGTCGACGAGAGATGAAGGGCGCGGCGTCTTGTCATTTGTCATTGTCATTTGTCATTGGTTTCTGTTTCCTCACCGCCCGTCTTTTTCTTCTCCTCTCCTTTTCCTCTAGAGCAATTACGTTTGTTGTCATTACACATCAAAATGGCGCCAAAGGACAAAAAGAAGAAGAAGGTGACGGCGTTTCACAAGACGCCAATCGATGTAGCCATGGCTCCACCAGCCAATGACAAATTTTGGTCCGTCGTCGTCGAGTTCATGGCCAAGTACGGCGAATGCCCCAGTGATCCGAGCGAATTCCAGAAATTGTTGGACGATTTTCTGGATTACCTCCGCCAAAACTACGAAGGCGATCCTCCCGAATTTTTGCTGGAAGCCCAAGAAAACGACGATGTCCTCGCGGTGTTTGCCGATATGTGTTCACGAGCCAGCACACCCATTGATGAGCTCCTCCATGAACGAAACTGGAAGAGCGCTGCCGGTACGGACGATGCGTTCTGGCTTCCACTGGCCCGAACGATCCTCAAGCGATATTTGCAGGCCAAATGCCCAGATTTGGTCCCGGCACTGTTGGAGGTGGACATGCACGGATGTCAAGGCAACATCGCCAGATTCCTTTACAAGGTCTTCCTCAATGATTTGGTCGCCAAGACAAACCAGATATCAGAAGAAGAGTGGCCTGAAAATCTGGAGGAGGAATTGAAAGACCAACCACACCAAACACAAACCAAAATTATCTGGCACCGATTCATCCCGCTGATCCAGAAACTCATCGAACGCTACAATATCAAGGAGGATGGATTTCTTCCTCTGAACTTTTGCTCTGCGATTCAGGAGTATGTCAATGAAGCCAAGGACAAACCAGATTGCGTCTTGATCGTTCGAATCTTGAAGGTAGCTCGGAGGCCCCTCGAGGACCTTGCCAACGATGGCAGCGACCCCAAAATATCCAAGAAATTGCTGTTGCCACTTCTTCGGGCAAAGTACAATCGCAGGCGCCTTGACCCAGATTCAGTTTGGACCCGCTTCGCCAACGCAGCAATGCAGCATGACTTGAATAAAGTTCCTACAACCAAGAAGTACCACGAAATTCTGGACAATCACATCAAGGAACAGACCCTTCTTGAAGGAAAACAAGATCAGCCGGTACTACAACAGCGGGAAAGTGGCGGTCGGGGGAAAAGTACTGTGAATGAACCAAGCAACCGTCATAGTCGCCTCCCGAGTCTACGTCAATCCGTCGGGGAAGGGAAAGAAAACACGTATGAAGGAAGAAACAATGGCGGTGATGCCGACCCTGGCAACTCGAATGCATCAAGCCAACGTCGAAGTCGCCGTCTTCCACGACAAGCCGCGGAGGAAGGGAAAGAAAAGGCGTCGAACGCACGGGGAAACAGCAGCGGTGATGCGAAAGGTGGCAACAAGAAGCAAGAAGCGAAGGGTGCACGCAGTCGCAGATCACCGGCTGCTGCGGCCCGCAACGAATGCCAGCCCAAGGAAACTCGGCCGCATCCAACAACAGGAGGAAACACTCTTGCTGTGACACAGTCGCCCACTTTTGTTGCTCCAAGCGCAACAGCTGGACAGCCCAAGGAAACTGTCCGAGCAGGAACTGGCAATGAGGCTCGACACAACAAAGCGTCGCATGGCGGGACCCTTCCCTTAGACAAACGGCAAGCGACAGAGGCCCATGCCAGCCCTGCTGACAATGACGACGACAGTACAACAAGTGATGAGCAGATTTTTATGTCGAGTGATGAGGAATGGGAGGATGAGGACCATTCTGGAGCCGGAGCCAACACGTCTCAAAATCAGAACAAGGCGCAAATTGCCCGATCAAAGTCTTCAGTAACGTCGTCCACAAGAAGCTCAGCAGACGAGAAAGCAGATCTTCCAAACAAAAACCTGAATCCAAGCCAGTCCACAGACGACGGCCAGGAAAATACAACCAAGGAAGCGGTTGAATCCGCCACGGCTGAAAGTCCCGTACCGACCGAACCAGCCACAAACACTCACATCGAGGCTCGCACAATGGCACCAACCGAAGCAACATACAGCGATGACGACGACGTCGATGCAGGATTTGTCAATGATGACGACCACAACAACCACAAATCCAACGAGGCTTCCGAAAAAGGCGGCTCAAAGCAGGCGACAGGCAAGCCTGGTACAACCAAACGAAGCACCGATTGCAACGGGCTGCAAGAAGAAAAGAAGGACGAAAGCTCTGTGGAGTCGGCAACGGCGCATGTCGGAAATTTCCTCCGCAAGGCCATCGATGATGCAATGCAGACTCTGGAGCAGCAGCTGAATGATCTCAAGATCAAGAACCATGCTCTGATGAATGAAAAGGAAGCTCTGGAGGCCGCCCACGCATCGGAAAAGGCAATCTTCAAGTCGCAGTCTGCAGCTCAGCTGCAGGAAAAACAAGACCGCATTGCGACCCTTCAAAACCAGGTGAACACCCTGCAGGCGACCCAAGACCGGTTGGAGCAACAAGTGAACTCCCTGGAGAAGGAAAAGAACAACGTGTTGATCTCTCAGGAAGCTTGGAAGCACCGTCTGTTGTCCGGTATGTCCCAGGAGCAGCAGATCGCGATGAAGAATGAAAACACCAAGTTGCGCAACGAAAATTCCAATCTGGTAAAAGCTCAGGAAGAGTTGAATCGCAAGATCGCCTCCCTCGTGTCCGAGAAGGAAAGTCGTGAGTCAGAGGAGATCAACAACAACCGACAAGGCACCTCCGAGATTGCTGTGAAGGGAAAACTCGAATCAGTTTTGCAAAATAATATCAAGCGACTCGATGAGGTCAAACTGACTCACACTGTCCAACATTCAAATGGCAGCAACCCGACAGGGCCGATCCTAACCAAGTGCACCCCAGGAGAGGAGAAGGGGGCACTCAATGCCTGTTCCAATGCTGTAGGCACTGTTGTGGGCAGCAGTGACAGCGGCAAGGGAGCCTCTGTGACAATCAACGGTGCCAAGAAAGATGAGAAGGCAACTTGTGTCACCTCGAAACTTCACCATTCGACGCTCGCGCCAGCTGGCGGTGTCGAAGGGGAGAAGCGACAGCTGACCGCGGAAGAACAGTCTACTACTAGTGCAAAGTGCAAAAGCATGGAGCCAAAGCCGGCCACCTCATCTGGCCCAGATGCAAATGGGTCTTCCAATGATGCAACCTCCAGTTGTACGCCCACTGGTCCAGCGCGAACGGAGAGAGATACAGATGATGTTCCAACTACGCCTATACCACCTTCAGCTCTCTTGGCCACGGTTGAGACGTATTCCAGTGATGAGAAGACTGGAGATGGGGCAGACGATGGCTCTTATCAGCCAAGAGCCAGAACTTCCGCTGTGAAACCTGACCCCAAGGAGCCTGGTGTTGCAGCCATCCAGGAAGAGGCAAGATCCACGAATTCCGCTGCGAAACCTTCCCCCAAGGAGCCCGATGTTGCAGCCCCGGAAGGTGCAACGGCGCCTCCAAGAGCTACACCTCACTCTGTGCCACCTGCTTCCAAGGCGTCCGATGTTGCGGTGGCCCCGGAAGAGACAAGGGCTACGCTGAGTAGCAGCATGGCCGAGGCTGACGACGTGGTAGCCGCTCCTAAAGCTACCCCACCTGGCAATCTCTTGGCCAATGCGGAGGTCAATCAGACAGATGGCGCTGGTGCTGGCGACAATGATGGCGACCAAACCATCACATCAAAACTAGTCAAGAAGACAGCAGTGGAGTTGGAGGAAGAACATGCTCCAGCTACCCCTTCGCCGCCTGCTGAGGCCAATCTGGAAGTACATGCATCTCTGGCAGATCTGATGGCGATACAAATGGCAAAACTTGCGAAATATGGTGGCTAAGAAGATGGCAGTGCATAGCAGATAAACAATAGAATACGAGCAGCAGTGAACTTGCACAGTTCTCTGCTGTTCGGGCTACGGCCATTGCATCTTCCCCCGTACCTGCTTTAGAGCGATAGAAGGTTCCAGGCTTCCACATTTCAGGCGGTCCAAGCAGCAGCTGCATGGCAACCGGTATCAATTTCACTGTTGCTTGCTGGTACTCCGTACCAGGTAGTGGTCATGAAACCGGCTACGCCAAGCTACCGTATGATTGGATCTCCAAGAGCACAACTAAAACCTGTCAGCCAACTGACGAAGCGTTCGTCATGCATGCTCCATTGTGAAACATTGATATGGCTGGACACAGCACAGCAGCAGAGGTAATGCCCCTGAACATGTCTACCTTGAGAAAGAGGATTCGCGGGACATTCGAGACTGGAGCACTATCGTCGCAATTATTAATAGAATTATTCAGTAAAGTAGCTGCCCATAGCTGCCCGAAGCCAGGCACAATCCTTAGCTACCAACTGTCTCCCATGCTGCCTGCTAGCCAGAACTTCAATATCAGCAAACCAGCCGCAAATCTCCCAGCATACTTAATTTAGCCCCTTGCCTGGTTTCGACGTCCAGGAGGAATAAAATCAGCGTTGTTTCTGAGAGTAGCCATCGCCTCAATGCCGCGCTCGAACCTCTCGATGTATTCATTGGCCACCTGCAACATCTCATCAACTTGGGCACAAAACTCACGGCTCCTTTGCAAAAAATCAGTGTGCCGATGAATCATTTGATCAATGGTGGCAAGCTCCTCCTCTGGGCCGTGGTTGTTTACAACTGCAGCTCGTACCAACTCGTCTTTCGATCGTTGTAGAGTATTGAGGACTTCCTGGGTAGTAGCCATGATTTGACCGTAATTTGCCTTGATTATCCTACAAGAATCCCGCTTCGCCCAAGGATCATGGCGCTGTTGGTTTCCACAGAGTGCTCCTGCACCGTTGACTCCAGCCCTGTCCTCCATTGGTTTGGGTTGGGTTGGGTTGGGTTGCAGTGTGTTGCCCAAGCTGAACTCTGAGTACGGTATCAATTTTTTGGCAATAGGATTGAGTATCTTTGGATGCCTTGGGCCATGGCGTGGACGTAAATTGATCTTTGCGAGGGTTCTGTGTGAAAGTGAGAGGTGGTCGTGGTTCTTGGACGTTCCAAAGTTCTTTTCCGTCCCAGTCATTTTCAGAAACCCTTTGTTAGTACTTACTTATTGACTACTGTACCTGTATTTGGAATGACTTGGTCATAAAAAAGTCCACCGAAGCCACCTACCCAATAAGCGGCCGCTACTACAAAATGTAGACAAGTCTAACGGTACTAGTATCTGGCAAGAATACCGGTGGGTATTACATACATGTCCTGTAGGAGTGGCTCCTTTCTGGACATGTGCCGTACCATTGCTTGTTGCCCTTGTACGAATACACACTGGCTGTCAATCTATGGGCTCAACTACCGGGAGAACCCCCTGAAAACAAACAAAAGAGACGGCTAAGATACAGCCAACCACTACAAGTACAGTCGTACAGCACGAAGCAACATGAGCCTTGCGGGCGGGCAAGCATATTCAGTCCAGTGCCTGGTTTCAATTTGCTGGTTACAGAACTACTAACTAGCTAGTTGGCTAGCACTAGTTGTTACCGAAGCCGGGCAACTCAGGAGGCTGAATGGGGTACCTGTTCATATTTAGCCCCTCAACGCATTCATTAGCTGCCCCCAACATCTCATTTGCAATGTTAAAAGCACGCCTGAGATGACGCACTTGATGATTGACCCTTTCAATCTGTTCTTCCAGGATGGCAATGGTTTCAAGCTCAACCTCAAGGTCTTGGCCTCTTGCGACCAGTGCTTGTTTGGATCGTTCCAGAGTCCTCTTGACTCTCTCCCAAGATAGAAGCATGACGAGGTGCTTAACCCTGAAGCTCTCACAAACAATCTGAACCTCGTGAGGCATTCGAAGGCCTGCGTCGCCATCCATTGTATCCCAATCTGCGAATGCTCCATCTCTGATCGGACGCATTTCGTTCTGCGTCTCTTCCACAAAATCTTGCATAGAGAACAGGTGAGAGGTTTCAAAGCCAAGCAACCATGGAAGAGCAGTAGCCCGTCACTCACCAACAACATCATCTTGCGTAAGCAGGAGGACTTCCTCTCCGCCACCATTATCTTGTGCTCCCGCACCGTTGAATCCAGCCCCTTCCTCCATCGTGGCGACGGGATTGTGAATTGTGAGGTGTGGTTGCACGCCGAATCCTGGAATGCGTGGTTGAGTGGGGAATGTGAGACTGTCGTGCAGGCACATGACCTTCAGGGGTCATGCCTCATGCTCCCGAATTTGCTCCTCTAAATGACCCGAACCCCTCTTCCCACTCTAAGTCTTGATGCAGATGGAAACACGTGTAGTTGAAGGATTTGTCCACTGGTTTCTGGGCGTCGCTTAATTGGAACAATGATCCAGCTACTGGTACTGGTATTACCGAATTACAAGAAAGGAACCTAAAACAGCTCCTAAAACCTCCACGGGGTCGGCGACGGCACATTAATTTTGGCCATGGGAACAAAGGGCAGGGAGGATATACTACACAGTGTAGCTTGCGTGTTCCGGACTTAAAGCGTGCTGGGTAAATGGTACGAGTAATAGTATGGTGTGGTTGTTGTCGCCTCCTTCCGTGATGTCACAAATATTAGTCGATGGAGTTCGGTATGGACAACCAACAGCTTCTTCTTGTTGATAGTAGCAGCATCTGGCTTGCAATGGCGGTCGTTGCCGGTGAGATCAATCGTTGGCCGCTGGATCAATCATCTTTCCTCGGCGCTTCAGTTGGGCCTGATGCGCTACCGTTCAAAGCACAACTTCCTGTACGGTATCGTAGCCTCGGCGGATCAAAACCAGCACCATACTCTTTGCGAATTGATGCGCCCTTCTCACCTACCAAATTGGCAGTATTCAGGGCTCTGCATGGTGGGGGTTTCTTTTTGGTAGCATAGCTAGCTAGTGCCATTACGGTTGGTACCTGGTAGTGGCTTCGGCACGCACAGGAATGGTCATGACAATGAATGGTTTCTCGCACGGAGCCAGAGTACCACTAATATGCATACCTGCACCTCCTTCACTTGTACCTCTTTCCTTTGGTTTGTTGTACCTCGTTTTTAATAAAAGAGGTACCATAAGGGGCAACCAATGCATTCCCCCGAGGCCCTCATCATGCGAGTGTGTTTATAATACTCACTACTAGTACAGGTTTGCCGCACCACGCACGCTTCTGGAGGAGGGAAGGAAGGTTTCTTTGCCATGATTGATCCCAGGTCCCAGGACACGGCGGATGCCTTCCGGAACCTCCCTACCGTACCGGTACACACTCGCTTGCCAGGCATCACTTGAAGCATGTGAAATGACTATTACTATGATAATTCCGATCTTCTGCAAGAGCACAGGGGCACACGATCATAATTCCATGTGGACACTCACGATTTGGCCTCAAGCTTCACTGAGGCATTCAACTCCCTCCCAATCCAAGATGGGCCGCGGGTTGTTGCCGTGCTGGTTGTTGGGGAGATACCCCTGGAAAATGGAATAGCGGTTGAGCTGTCTGTAAGTTCCAGCCCTTCAGGAATCAGCGAGCAAGTCCAGGAACCCTCCAACCTGGCCCAGATTGTCCAGTCCATTACGGATTCGATTTCCGATTCTGGAGGTTCCGCGCAGGCTGTGGATGTCCTCTCCACGCTGGATGGGGTGGTTGTGAACGACACATTCTTTGTGACCTTCGAAGGCACCAGTGGGGGGGCTGGTCCACACTCACGATTTGGCCTCGAGCTTCACTGAGGCATTCAACTCCCTCCCAATCCAAGATGGGCCGCGGGTTGTTGGCGTGCTGGTTGTTGGGGAGATACCCCTGGAAAATGGAATAGCGGTTGAGCTGTCTGTAAGTTCCAGCCCTTCCGGAATCAGCGAGCAAGTCCAGGAACCCTCCAACCTGGCCCAGATTGTCCAGTCCATTACGGATTCGATTTCCGATTCTGGAGGTTCCGCGCAGGCTGTGGATTTTGCAAGCCCAGCTACAGTTTTACCAACAGTTCTATCTGGTCAACCAACTAGAGCACCCACAACAGGACCAACTAATTTCCCAACAAGAACACCATCCAAGGCTCCAACGGCCTTGCCAACCAGAGAACCCACAGAAACTCCTACAACTGCCAGTGCTGCAACAAATAGTCCCAGTACTGCCATTCCCAGCACTGCCATCCCAACTACACTCACACCAACAGTTTTTCCAGGCCAGCCAACAAAAGCCCAACAAAATTACTGGCCAATCTTCCACCAGGAACACCAACCACGGCTCCAACAATCTTTCCAACCCGAGTACCCACAGACATTCCAACGATAGCACCAACAAAGTTACCCACAAAAGATCCCACATCCATTCCAACCAAGGGTCCAACACTGTTGCCAACCCAGGCACCCACACCAACTCCAACAAGGGCCCCAACAGAGCCCCCGACCAAAGCTCCATCAAACGCACCTAGCAAAGTGCCCACAAACAATCCTACTAAGACGCCAACAACAGGCCCAACCGATGCCCCAAGGGCACCAACGAAATCCCACCCAAGCTCCCACAGTGGCCCCGACTAAAGCTCCCAGCAAAGCACCAACAAAATCTCCGACTCGAGCACCAACAATGGTACCAACGAAATCCCCAACCCAAGCTCCCACAGTGGCCCCAACTAAAGCTCCCAGCAAAACACCAACAAAATCTCCAACTCAAGCACCAACAAGGGCACCAACGAAATCCCCAACCCAAGCTCCCACAGTGCCCCCAACCACTGCGCCAACAAAGCTGCCATCCACCAGTACACCAACTATATTTTTGATCGGCCTTCACTTGAAACAGCACTTTATTTAATGGAGGTGACTATTCCGCTTCAAGTCCATGTGGTGTGCATGCGATTGATCGGTTTGAATGTCTATATTTCAACATGGGACGTATCAAAGGTTACTTCTATGGTAAGATCATGAGTTTTGAATGGTTTATGATTTGTTTGCAGTTTTGGAAACTCAACATGCTACTCTGCATACACAGTACTTTACGTTTGCTTGTGAGTCTAAGGGATCTTCACTGCTGTATCTTTTCAAGCTAGTACATCCTAAAGCATGTTGTTTGTTTGCCCCTATTTCTGTAGACTCTTCCTTCAACCACAATATTGACTCCTGGGATGTGAGCACCTGCACTACTTTCAATTCAGCATTTGAAAGCGAATGTAAGTTTTGTTAATGCTTTTGGGAGTGATGACTAAAATCTGCCAAGAAAGTTGTGTTCTCACACTTTGCTCAGCTAACTTCAACCAGCCCCTTGGTTCCTGGAATGTTGGGAACGAAAACACTTTTGCTAACATGTTTTTGTCCACAAGTGAAATTGTGTGTTTGAAGTCCTTCTCTGTAGATTGAATACATCTAGTCTCGCTCATATTATTGATGTTTCACCCTTTATTCAATAGCATCATTCAATCAAGACCTCAGTAGCTGGGATGTCAGCAAGGGAACCGATTTTTCGTCGATGCTTTCTCAAGGCAACTTCAATTAAGATGTATCTAGTTGGAATGTAGCAAAGGGGGCCAATTTCTTCGCCACGTTCAAAAACAGCCCTTTCAACCAGGACCTGTGTGCCTGGGGGAATGGAGCCAACCAAATTGCAGTCAACTCAGCCAGCACGTTCCTCATGTTTGGTTCTACACCTTGCCCTACAACTGCAACAAGTCCAGACTTGAATGCTTCCCCAAGAGGGCCATTTTGCTACACATGTTAAACATTTATCAAGTTACGGGTTACGCATACATGTAGTACAGTGGCTAGCAAAAGCTAGCAATCTACAATGTCCTCGAATCCACCTTCTCCAGCGTCCGTCGACCGAGACGTGTGATCTCTTGACGATTGAATCTCTCCACTGGAGTAGGCGGAAGTAACAGTAGAAGAAGTGACGGAGTTGCTCCTGGATGTCAAGTCTACCCAGTACGTTTGCAAGCTTCCCTTTCCCTTGGCTTCGATTTTTTCTTCACGGGCGGTAATCCAGCTGTTCTTTCCCCGAGCCATCAACGCGTCGGCCGTCTGTTGACTCACGTGAATCCTATTTTTGACCCCGTTCGACTCCATGCGACTCGCTGTGTTCACGGTGTCTCCAAACAATTGGAATCGACTTTTTTCTGCAAAAGGAAGGACCATACAAGATGACGATACTGTTAGTTAAGCAACGCAATGCAAAGATCCAAACGACCAAACACAAAAAATTGCAATCTACCAGAACGGAACTTACGACCACGAAGGACACCTCCTGTGACGGGTCCAGAATGCAATCCAATCCTCATGCAAAGTGTCGCTGTATCCTCTCCCATGGTTGTGGCCAAGGATGCAGTCAAAGTCTTGAACTTTGCCAAACAATCATTGGCAAACTTGCACATGATGACCGCGTGATCGGTTTGGGGATTGGGAAGACCCGTAACAGCTGAAAAAGAAGAAGAAAAGAAAAACAACATGTTAGTAAAGCAAGCATCTTGCAGGCAGTACCTGTGCCGCCTCCTCGTTGTGTCTCTTACCCACGTAACAGTCCCCGATTGTTTCTACTTTAAACACCCTTCGACGTTGAGCAATAGCGTCAAAGGCCCCGTACACGGCTTCCAGCAGCTCGAAGACTTCTTCCGGTGTTCTACTGGAGCTCCATTTCGTGAATCCGGCCTGCAGGCAGGGAGTGGTACAAAAGTAAATCATCGCAATGAAAGCAATGGTGAGGATGATTGTCAAGAGCTAGCTGTGTGCTTGCTTCACCGTGCATATGCAGCCGGCCGCCAAGTATGTCAGAAGAAACGTACCAAGTCGGCAAAGAAGATGGTTGTTTCCGGGTACAAGCTGGCGATCATGGCTTTCTTATTGTCTCCGAAACCACCTTCAGACTCTTGGGTGTTGGTATTTTTCCAATTGTCCTTTTTCTCCTGCTGATTGGTTTGTGCTTGCTGCTCTTTGTAGAGCTGCTCTCGTACTTCTTTGGGGAACAAGGAGGAGACGAGTTTTCCAGATTGCATGGCCGATGTGAGTACCGCCTTTTGTCGTTGTTCGACCATGTAGTCATAGAGCAAAAAGATAAAGCTGGTAAAGACAAAGAGGAACGCCAAGACGGCCGCGTAAACGGCTGGTGTCGAACTGCGATGGCTGTCTTCAAAGTCTTGGGATGGGTATACGCGAATGGAATATTGACAACTAAAGTCCGTGGCGAGAATTTCGGCGTTGGTAGCGGCATCGGTTGACACTGCGACAGTAGTCCCCGTTCCCAGTTCGTCATACTTGGGATCGTGTAAGTCTCCATGACCAATGAACTGGGAGTGAACACCGTTGACTTGGTACGTATACGTCTGATTGCACGTGTTTTCGAGAATGACAAAGATTCCATCGGCGCCAGGAGGGAGGAGATTATCAAAATAGGTTCGCCAGTAAATGAAGGTATAAAAGACCGCCACAACCTTTCTTGTGTTGACGTCCAGACTGTCAAATACGGGAAACATGGCCGTGCCGTGTGGGTCGTCGAGGTATTCGATATGAGTCGTCTGCGTGATAAAGTCGTAGCGCATGTCTTTTTCGTTGCCTCCCATGTAGTCGTAGGATGGCTCGAAAATGGGCAAGCCTGTTTCGGTCGCGAGATCAATGGGACCCTTGTGCTCGAAATCGCCATAGAGATCGACCAGATTCTCCGCTTCCGAGGAATTTGCAGCTGGGTGAACGCACCTGTTTTGACAAGAATGAATAAATGAGGGTAGCAGGTGTTAGAAAAGGCTAGTGTGGCCGGTGAGCAGACGTGGCTGTGGGAAATACCCGGGCATCGGCTCGTGGGTCGTCCTCAAGCACATCTTGTCCGAATCCGTTAATGGACGTTCAGTTTTTTGTTTTGTATGGTACGTACCAAGTGGGAAAGTGAGGACCATCTGGATTGATTTCATTGGCAGGTGTGGGCCCATTGGGATTGTGGACGTTGATCATGCCGTGGTTGATAATGCCAGCATTGACTTGGTCTACCGGAATTCCCGTTTGAAAGGCCAATCCTTCTGCTTTCCAACCTTGATTGTCAAACGCCCAGTCGTTCCAGAGGTTATAGTTCTCCTTCTCCACACGAGGCATGAGTCGGATGGCCATCAATTGCGCCAAGATCGAAACGGCGTCGGCCCGTTGATTAAAGTCCTTGGGTGCCACAAACGGCCAGCTGCCATTGGCTTGCGATGTGATGTCTTGGCCAAAGCTGGCAATGATTCCGAATCGTTGCTCCACCGTTTGCTCAAAGCTCAAGACCAACTTTTCACTCAGAGCTTCAAAGTCAGTTTCGAAACTCTCCGTCTCACTCTGACGACCGGCAAAGTACACCACTAGACAAACGGCAACGGCAACACCCACCAGCACAATGCCCGTCAGCACACGAAGACGAAACACCCAAACAGCTTCCTTCTGGGCGACGTCCAACTTGAACTGTTCTTGTCCGTCTCCAGGCTTGGCGCCGTCATCCATCACCGACATGGACGGCTCTTCGTCTTTCCAGTTCGAGGTCATCTTCGAACAGATCTTATCTTGTCTTGCTTTGTTAGTTTTTTAGAATCTCCAACCAACAAAAAAGTGAGAGAGATAAAGGTTGACTTCCAAGCAGCAGACTTGCGAATTTTAGGGTTCACCACTGAAGAAACACGAGTCATCTCAATAAGAATATGTTCCTTAAGTATATTCGGAGACAGCTGAGATGCTCATATTATTGTGTGCAAGTGGTAAAGAACGGATTTATTACAATGACGCTCAAGAAGCCCGATGACTGCTTGCCGGGTTTGAAAGTCATCAATCAATCAAAAATCCAGAAGGACCATATGTCCGCCGGGTAACCGGATCCCTGCATGCCAGTCTCAGCATTGTGGTACCGGTACTATTATAGTACTAGTAGACTAAGTACTTATTAATAGTATGACCAGTCGATAAGTTCGGTTGCACACAAAGTCATGTGAATGTGTGAATGGAAAGTAACTATGACTTAATAAAGGCTCCTTTAGAGGGAATTGTAGCGGTAGTTCGCATATCAGAACATAAAAGGATTGGTACAGAAAGTACAGCGGGACCGCTGTACCGCCATCCGCCCAACCGTACACTACCGCTGTAGAGGAGATTAGCCAATCAGGTTCGATCTTTTTGATGACGTCAGTCGGCTGACTTTAGTCGTGCTTCAATATTTCGCATTTCGGATTTCTCTGTGTCAGCTCGATCAGTCTTTCGTCGTGTTGTTTTTGTGTTGTTTTCGAAAGACCGACGGAGCATGCATCCAGAGGATTTGAGCGAGATAGTGAAGCAAGACAATAAAACCGAGGTCATCCCGTCCGTATTCAGTAGCCGCAGAGGTACTTCGCAGAGGTGTACTTACCGCATTCAGTAGCCGCAGAGGTACTTCGCAGAGGTACTCACGCAGCCGAGGAGATAGCCGCTTTCATCGCAATCTCCGAAGACGATGAGTGCGAGTAGAAAGAGGCGCCGGCTTGTATCGACCACTACATCCGGACCTGTACTCCAGTGACGGTTCCCCAAGGTGGAACGCATGGTGTTCTTGGCGGCTGTTGGCAAGATAGGACGTGCCTCTGTGAAGCTAGGACTCCTCTAGTGGGCGGGGAAATTGGATCAATATCTGCAGTGCCATTTCCCACAGGGAGCGTCCACGGAGTCACATCTCCTGTTGTGAGAGCCTTGCAAGGAAGAAAGCTGCAGGCCAGGCGAGTCCCAAATTACGAATTTCTTTGGGAGCGGCGTTGACAAACGATGGAAGGCAGATGGCCAGGATCAATGAATGCCGCTCCTGGCAAGAGAAAGGCTGCTCCAAAGCAAGGTGGTCTGACAAAGCCAAGCTGTTGGACCCACGCACAAGCTTCGCAGACATGAAGGGTTGGGCCAGGGTCCTGGGAAAGTCCATCCAAAAGACAAAGCCGAAGATGCAGGAGGCTCTGCTGCAGTGCTTTGAGGGCAAGCCAGAAGACCATGTGTTCCACTCCCACTATTAATAGCTAGCTAGCTTGGTGGTTGGGCCCCAAGGGGCCCAATCTTTATGGTTCAGAGCCCCCTGCGGGGGCTCAACCTTTATAGTTCTAGCTTAAAAAATTTTCTTGTAGGTGTGGATGGGAGCAAAGTACATTTATTGACTGCCCAAAAGCACAACCACATTAGTCTATAGCCCTCAACGGATGGAGGGCCCCTGTGAATTTGTTTGTATGTATGGTTAGTATGGTTGTCTGTTTGTGTGGTTGTGCGTCACACTTTTTAGCTCCAACCCTAATAGAGATAGCCAAGCGAAATCAAAAAGAGGAACAGATGGCTGGCGACTAGCCAGTAGAACTACAAGGCTGGCCAGCTAGCGCTAGCCAGCATAGTACCAACGTACCAACCGGTAGTAGCCAAGGCCAGAACAACCTAGCTGCTGGTAATAGCCAATAAAAAGCAAACTCGTTGAGGGCTCATGGCTTCGGCAGCCTCAATTTAGCGGGTTGCTGGTTCAAGATTCTTTGCTTGCGTTTTGTCCCAGGTCATTTGCTTTGACTCTTGCCTTCACTTTTCGGTTTTTTGACTTTTTTCATCCACCATGGGGGCCCAGCATGGTTCTTGCGATGTTGTCGAACTGAACTGTGCCAAGAGCGCAACTAGCTAGCTAGAACTGGTCTGCCAACAGACGATCCATCGAGGCGTTCACGAGTGATCCCAATGTCATGCCTGGGTATACCGAGGGGACCAGTCAACACAAAATAGGATAGGTTCAACAGTGAACAATAACCCTCGTACCGTACTGCTATCTAGCTAGACGTGTATGGCTACGATGGATACTTAGAGGGAACATTCATGGATGGGGGAATCGTGTCGTCAAATAGTTAGATGGAGGCTCATTGACTTGATTATCCCATATAGATAGTTACAAAGGATTGGGGCTCAGCCACTGAGTTGATTATCCAGTTGGCCGTCCTCATCAACCTAAGATATATTAGGTTGACAGAAGAATCTCTTGATACCGTAGTAATGGGAGAGGAAGGGCAAAACGGCATCGCCGAACTTGTCGCAAGCAAGCACCATACCGGTACGGTACCCATGTGCATATGCATGGCCGCACTTCTAGCTACTAGGCGCTGTTTCCTCACTATAATAAAGCCTACGCCCCGGGATTCCAGTTCCTCGAAATGTGGTGTCCCTGCGGACCAGCCCCACGAAAATGAAAGTGTTCACCATGTGCATGCTAAAAAGTGCCGTCCCCCAGTGTCATTGCCCCCTGAACTAATCTACCCACTCCAAACCTCCAATTATATTTAGTAAGATCTCTGTTCGCCTGGCAATTTGTTTAGCTAAGCCTACGAGGTCTTGTCGCGTTCTCACAGTCAGCTCTGCGTTTAAAAGAAGCCTTCGAAGAGGGTGGTGAACAATCGGAAGCCCAATCTACGTTCGGAGGCTACAAGCATACCGTCCCCGACTCCTGGCATGGGCCACCAATATCCACTCTAGGACCTGTGCCATGATGCCTTGGCTGGGGGGTACTGGCCTAGCTACAGTAGCAAGGGTGGCAAAGGGGCCTTTCGGACTCCTCCAAGCCAGGTTTGGATCACTGGTGTCCGTACAGCTAGCCCACTGAAACATTCCAGCAACATCAGCTCCACCATCGTAAGTACAGAGCCGATACAAAAAGTACAATGAATGGGGCATACCCAGTTCGAAATGTCTCGTTCGAATTCCTTGGCACCATCAAAAACATGCTTGTCTGTGGTGTTGGAGGCAAGATTGAGAAATATGGATACGTATCAAGCAGGCAAAGGAAGTTCACACAGCAATGAAGTAGATTTACCATATCTGTGACCTTGGACATATCCCACCTTTAGAATAGAAGAGCATGGGTCCAAACAAATAGTGTGGTGAGAAAGAGACAACTGCTGCCTTTAGTTGGGCCACTGTGGGAGCTTGGGTGGGGGATTTTGTTGGTGCCCTTGTTGGTGCTTGAGTCAGAGTTTTTGTCGGAGCTTGAGTCAGAGTTTTAGTTGGGGCCGCTGTGGGAGCTTGGGTAGGGGATTTCATTGGCGCCCTTGTCGGTGCTTGAGGACTGGTCCTATCCAGCTTAAATGACGTCCGTTCGTTCGTTAAATCGAAATAACGGCTCAATTTTCTCCAAATCCACACGTTCGGCGAACCGCAGAAAATGTTTATAGTAAAAAAGTGGAGCTGCGGTTCGCCGAACGTGTGGATTTGGAATTCGCGAAGGGCCAATCATAACGCTCGAAACTCCCACAGCAAATCCCCAACTCTATCGAGTTTCGAAAATCGAAAAGTGAGATCTCGAGATCTCATCAGCACGTCCTCTTCATCAAATCATTGAAAAGTGAGAAGATACTACCGTAGTAGCCATCCGTTGTCATTGTAGCCACGCTGTTGTCATTGTCGTCATGGACTATGAATACGAACAAGATGCTGCATTACTTCTGCAGCTCTTTATATTAACGGTGGGCCTTCTCCTGTGTTTACCGGGTGAACCTAGGAATCCTTCCTTTTTCGAACAAAGGTTGGCTTGGAAGCGCTACAGTGAGAAACACCAGCAGCGTTCGACGTTTACAAGACGACTTAGAATGAGTAAAGAAAGCTTGACAAGCTGCTTTGTTCATAGTTGATGACTTGCTAGTAAACGAGACCACAGGCTGTGAGAAGAGGAGGTTCCATCATTCCCGAACTGTGTTCTCTACTTGCACGCTTCGATATTTGGCTGGTGGTTCCTATCTTGATATACGGACATAGCTGGATTCCAAGCTCGTCATCGGTATTATGGAAGACATAAGAATATGCAGTGTCCCGTTGAAAATCCGTTCCCCAATCGGAGCAGGAAATAAAGGCGCATAGACGGCTTTGCGGGATATCCGATGGTGCGCCTTGAGCACCTAGTGTGGGTGTTGCGACGGTTCTTTGCGTATCAAGGTTCCCAAGAGAAACTGGACATTCGAAGTTTCTCTCGGTCATACCAGTTCGCTATGGATGTGAACTCAGCCTGTCGCGGTGCTCTATATCATTACTCGGTTCTTATCTTCTTTGTTTGCCGCTCCGGTGAGTTTCGAGCGACCGTATGCATGCGGCCATGTGTCTCTTCCGGTTTGTGTGGGTTCACTTCCATCCGGTGCTTGTGTAATCATGGTAGATGCAGATTATGCGTTCCCGCAAGAGTGCAGTCCAATCATCAGAGGTACGACAAATTGATCCCGCTCGTACGACAATTTCAACTCTATGCATCATCCAGTCCGCATTCGTGTTGAAATGGCCTTCGGTCTCATGCAGATGAAGTGGGGACATACTGCACGGCCTTTGGTGTTCTTGAGACATGCTATGGTTGGTCAGGCTATAGCCGTTACCATCTTCTGTCTCAATGAGCGCCTTGAAGCCCGAAATGTTGACAAGGGGCGTCGCATGGTAGCGGTTATATTCCCCCCCAGTTTCCCACATGATGACGATGGTGATCCCCGTCGGTTGGAAAATATCTTTCATATTGGAGTCTTGAGGGGGAAATTCACTTCTACGGGAATTCATGGCAAAAGAATCAAAGTTACGCTCACGGCCTTACGTACATAAAAAGCGTAGAGTGAGAGAGAGGAGTTACATGGCTTACAATTTAATATTAGGCAGTTTCCTCTGTTTCCATCTGACTTGGCCGGACGATCTTCAAACGCTGTCTTCAAGTTGTTCGATACGGAATCCATTGCTCAACTGCGGTGCTTTGGGACAAATCATTGGGTTGATCCTTATTTCAATACCATCGTCAATGTCGATAGTATTCCAACACTCGTTTTTGGGGCTTCATTCTGATGCGACATATTTTCCTTCGGATTGCATGATTCCTTAAATCCTCTTATTGGTGATAGTTCATAACGGACAAAGCTTGCTTGCCTCTTTGCCACCGCGAATCGGCACTTCCCAAGTATGCTATGTAGGTCACTTTCAATTGTCGTCTGCATACGCAGCGATGCCATAACGCCGGATGTTGAGGCAAAGATTGGTTCAGTTAGTGACGCACCGCCCGGTAGACTGCAGTTAGATTGCCGGGGTTTTAGTGAATTGGATTTGTGCAGTACGCCACGATGTTGTGCCCTCGCCGACTTCTTCATTTTCCAATGACTCTCTCCCGCGTTTCATCAAATACACAACAGCTGTCGAATGACTTAAATCCTGTCACCGGTATGATGTCTTCAGGTTGAACGGTGTTCTTCGTTCCATGCAAGGCTGTCGTCTTCCCCCTCTATCAGCCTAAGCGGTATCGAAGGTCGTCCTGATGTCTCGTTCATTTCGCTGACCAGACAAAAGTCCTTCCCGGCATTTCCTGTACTCCATGCTCCGAGAGAGGCTGTTGTTGTAGTCTTTCGTTGCTTCTGTCGTTGAGGCAACAAAGGTCATTGAATTATCTGCGTGGAAGCAATTTCATAATTTAATGAGAGTGTTGTCTTTCGTTGCGGAGACGATCCTGGGTTGGAATAGATTGGTCGTTTCATCGTTTCCATCTGACACTGCGGGCAATCTCCATCCTGCTCGTCACAGTTTTTGTCCTGCTCCTCCACTCCATCACTTAGACAAAAGCGCGAATATCCTTGCTGTTGAATTTGGTTAAGTCCAACACTTCCTCGGTTGGTTTTCCTTTACGCATTGTGAATGACACAGCGACACTGTAAATCTCGCCGTCTTTAGGGCTCTTCTCTTGCCCGATTCCAATTTTATGCTTGTTGCTCGCGCGTGCTGATACCATATTTTGCTAACCTTGGCCAGGCTCTAGCCTCTTCCGTCTTCTTGGCAGCATCTCTTGGCAAGTTTTGTCTTCTTTGTTGCTTCCTTTCGAACTCCCTGAGCAGCCTTCCTCTATGCCGTGAGGCGACCTGGATTTACATCAGCAGAAGAGATCATGTCACGCACCTATCGAGGCCGTGGTGGTCGCGTTGCCGTCCTCTGGCTTGAGTTGCCCCCATGTACATTCTTGCCAAACCATCCTCGTAGTATTCCAAAGGAGGTGCCGGACACTACAAGAGCACGATGTTGATGCAGTTGCTGTATCTGCATCTGGTGTCGGTGTTGTATTTCATGCAAGCTTAGACGTGGACGAGGGAGGGAAGCTGCGACTGGGGCTGCACTGGGGCTGCGACTGCAATGAACTGCGACTGCGACTGCGACTGGGGCCAGGACTGGGGCAGCACGGCTACTCCTCGATGACGACTCAGAATCCTCGCTTCCGCTCTCTCTCTCTCCTCTTGTTCCGCTCGTCAGACTCCCGTAGTTGCCGTCCTATATCAATGGACCCGTCGCTGCCATCTTCACTCATCATGACAACGAGTGGAGAGTGCGGTGCAATTCGATTCGATTACGGGATAGGAAGAACTCAAAAAAAGGAAAATTGTGGTGAAAGAGGAGCCACAAGGGATGCACATGTGATTGCCTGTGGATCCACATGATGAACACGGAGAATCAAACCTGATATGCCCCAACGAGATTCTTTCAAAGAACAATCATGTGCTATTATCACGAGATTTCTGACGACGGTGATTGCGTTTTGGCAGAATCTTGCTGGGATAGTTTCACCCTAACCCTGCTGATGAGAGTTCGGGAGAGTTCGCGAATGACGTATCTGCGAATGGTTAAGAATGAAAACACATACGCGAAAATAAATGTGTTTCCTGTGCGAACGTACGAACCACATGAATGTGGTTAGGACCAGCCCTGAGTGGGAGCCTTGGTAGGTACTTGAGTTGGAGCCTTGGTAGGTGCTTGAGTGGGAAACTTGGTAGGTGCTTGAGTGGGTGCCTTTGTAGGAGCTTGAGTGGGGGCCTTGGTTGGTACATCAGAAGGACTGATGCTAGGGAGCATGGATGGACTGTGACTGGGGCTAGTGGAATGCGCATTGGATGGGGCAATGAGGATGGAACATCAAAAGGACTGATGCTAGGGAGCATGGATGGCCTATGAGATGGGCCAGTGGAAGGCAATGTTGATGGAGTTGTTGATGGCACCGAAGATGGTACCATTGATGGACTGGAGCTTGGGCTTGATGAAGGCACTGTTGATGGACTAATGGAGGGCAGCATTGATGGGCTTGATGATGGAGATGCAGAAGGAATTCTAGATGGGCTAGAGGATTTGTGGACGGGAATGAAGATGGGCTTATACTGGGGCTTGAAGATGGCATGTCAGAAGGGACGATGCTTGGAAGCACAGATGGTCTATCTGATGGGTTCAGCGAAGGCAGCATAGATGGACTGCTGCTGGGACTCTCAGAAGGCAGATCAGATGGACTACTGCTGGGGTTGGTGGATGGGGTATATGAAGGACTGATGCTTGGTGTTATGGAGGGAGCACCAGATGGGCTGGTGATCGAAACCATTGAAGGAGCATCATATGGGTTTGAGCTGGGATCCATAGATGGTGCAATTGATGGACTAATAGAAGGCATAATGGATGGATAGATGCTGGGGGTGGTTGATGGCACTCTTGATGGAACAACTAAAGGGCTTGCTGAAGGTGGCGACAATGGGCTCATGCTTGGTACATTGCTTAGGCTAGGGTTCCCAGGTGGCATATTGGAAGGGCTACTTGGTGTGGTTGGGCTTGTAGTGGGATTCCCTGCGGGTACAGTGGGTAGTGAGGAAGGTGGAGATGTTGGCATCTTTGAGGGGTAGGAAGAAGGCATTGAAGAAGGGATGGCCGAAGGTGGTGAGGATGGGTGATTGCTTGGTGCATTGCTTAGACTTGGGCTCTTTGATGGAATTTTTGATGGTACGAGTTCTCAATGCTGAGAATTAAGCACCAAGAAGCAACCATCAAAGAAGATTTTTGACAGCGAACTAACAGCGTCACCCTGGTTATAGGTCCGATGCTGTTGCAACCACATTAATTTTACATGTACTGAGTAATCGATATTATGATAATTACCAATTCTTCAATCAATCGCTCCAGGAGCATATCCGCGCCATCTTTGCTACTACCCGGTCTACCTACCGTACGATCCACGGAGCAACCCAAGCAAGCAACCCAGTCGGACGAATGCGTTTGCCAGATCCATCATGAGTAGCTACCGGTACTAAAAGCTGTCTTGCTAGCCTGTGCAAGGACCAGCACTCAGCCTGACCTCTGCGATGCCAAACAGCCGCCAAACCAAATCCAGGCCACATTCCTCCATGCCCTGCGCCTACGGTTCCGGACACGCTGGTGGAAATCAAACCCTCTACTGGACCATGCTTGGGCCAGAGCATCTATCAAGCACTCCAGATGCACCTTCCTGCCTTGAGACCAGTCAACACGCCACACTTACTATTACTTTGTCTGGATCCACATGCTGCTCCGTTGGTTGTCTTCTACTACCACTAGCTAGTGGTACTAGTACGGTGCATTCAAGGCTGTGTGCAGTATCCTCAACCCCAAATAAATGTTGCCATCAACTTTGCTCCCCCGGCGCGAATGTCACGCTTTCTTAAATATTCGTCGAATGCATGCTTGGACATGAAGAATAATAAAAGACTCTTTGTTTAAAAGTGGGACTTTGATGCGTGGCGCAAAAAGAGCGTACTTAACGTGTGGTGGGCGGCAGTATGGATAATTAGAAGCCTCAACGAAGAGCCATCAACGTACTACTAGTGTAGTACGAGAGAGGCACAGCGGATGAGCCTGATGATCGACACAAGGATCATTGTGGTTTTTGTTGGCACTTACTTGTGTATAGTGGCGGCAGTATTGTAAGATAGAGGCGAGTACTAGCTAGCTATACTAGCTATACGTATTAAAACAACGGCGACCATGGCGGCAAGCACAAGACAAAGAGAAGGAGAAGAGGTGGCATCGGCATCAGCAGCAGCAAGACACGACAAAAGCCTCACAATGAGGACTCTGCTGATGAGCTGTCTGAGCATTTTGTGCAATCTGATGACAAGCTTTCTATCAGTGATCCAAGCAGCAAGCCAGAAGCTTGTTGGTTTCAGTCACCAACTGGCACAGCTAGTCGTGGTGCCGCCACTACTGCTGGTACCCGTGGATCTGTCGGTCGACGACGACGAAGACATTGTGTCGCATGCGCCTCCGGGACGTACGATTTCCTCCGATACTTCGTCTACTTGCAACGAAGATGATGACGATGACGATGACGATGAAGAGACGGAAGATTGGTGGACTCGTACGATTCGTCGTTTGCAGGAAAATGACCCGGAATTGTACGAACTCGACTTGGATGCGTCCATGATGTACGAAGAACAGCACCGGAATGGAGATGGACACGAAGTCTCGCTCCAAGAAGACGTACAAGATCTAGTGGATGCACTACAGGACAACACGGTCGTTACGCATTTGAGTTTGCGCAATCTGACCATTAACTCTCCCTCTCACATTCTCGCACTCGCAAAAGCCATTCCACAAATCACGTTTCTGCAGCTAGAAGATACACGAGGCGCGGGATTGGAAACGGTCGCCAAGATTCTACTGTCTGCTGCAAACACTACTACTACTACTACTACTACGACCACCAGCAAAACCATCATGGGACGGTTGCAGCATCCAGCAGCACCATCAGGAGTATTACCATCACCAACACCAACAGTCACACCCCCTTTACTCTCCCATTTGCTCGAGCTCCGTCTCAACCATGCGCACATCTCCATCCCCGTGGCAAAAATGCTCGCTCAAGCATTGGCATCCCCCTCGGCCAGCATTCAACGACTGGACTTGCAAGGAAGTCACTTAAATGACTCCACCATGATACCCCTCTGTCGAGCCATGGCACGCAATGCATCCGTACAATACTGGTGTCTCGATTTCAACTCCTTTCGTGATACAGGAGCAAGAGCTCTAGGATTCATGCTCCAACGAAACAAAAAGTTGCAAGAATTGCATCTCTTTGGAAACAACATTACCACCGTGGGAGCCGAACACTTGGCCGCCGCTCTGCCTTACAACACAACCCTTCAGTCGCTGGTCTTGTCCCTCAATGACATGGGAGATGCCGGTGTGGCTGCCTTTTCCCGCGCTTTGGTACACAATACCAGTCTCAAAAAGTTGTGGGTCCCGTCCAATCAAGTTGGCAATGCCGGTCTCTACGCGGTGGCGCAGTACTTGCCCCACTGGCAAGGACTGGAAGAATTGAATTTGGGTGATTATTTTGACACACATGCCGCAGCAGCCATTCGCACGTCGTTGCAACACAATTACGTCTTGAAACGATTGTATTTGGAATCGCCCGTGTACGATTGCGAACAAACCGAACGAGAAATTGACTTTTACTTGCGGCTCAATCAATGCGGGCGGAAACCGTGGTTATGCGACGAAAGTATGCTATTGCCGGCATCTTTGCAACCGCATGCTCTGGTCAAAACGCACGGATACACCAGTGCCATGGGATCTCCCGATGTTCTCTTTTACTTGCTGCAACATCAACCCAATATGTGCGAACAACCGTCCCACAATCATTGTCCATCCAGACCCACGTCCGTTATTCATGATCCACGAGAAACAGATGATGATGAGTAAAGAGCATGATGTGTGTTCGAATCGAAACCATGAATACCTGACCCGCGTACTACAAGCTAGACTAGTAGTACAGCACAACTTCAGGATCAAAGAAATCATTGCCAGCCATGGCAAGTGGCGCTCGTAACGAGAACGCCACAACGATGAATCCCTTTGATTTTTTAAAACCTTTGATGGTAGTCCTAAACTAGTTGCTTCGGATAAATATCATGTCACGAGTTCGTCGAGGATCGGTATCGGCAGTAGCCAGTGGCAACGGGCATCGTCTGTCTTGCGTGGCGTTGGGGCCCGCTCCTCTGCTTGCCGAGTTCCAAGCATAAGGACCATGTACAACTACCATACCGCTCTCGGGTCAATCATCCATGGCTGCAAAAGTTCAAATGCGTGATGCACAACCCAATGGGTGTCTACACACACCGCCAAAGCAGGCAGAGCCGGTTGACTACTGCTAAGTGGTTTTGCTCCAAGTTGCTCGCAAATCCACAGCACGGCAGACACTGAGGTTGCATGCATGTGTGGACACTAATGATTGAGCCAGCAATGGACTTCCCTCAGCAGCTGGTCCCAGCACTGTTCTCGACAACTGCTAGCCCCAGCACTGGAGTTCTCACAACGCTTTGCCTTGCCCCGGCACTACAAACCCTATGGCATACAGTACAATTGCTAGCCCTAGCACTGCAATTGGGATTCCCTCAACTCCTTGCCCTGTACTCCAATCCCTGCCATGGTTTCCCCAACACTGCATGTTCCACAACAGATGGCCCCAGCACCAGTGGGTGCTCACAATGCCTTGCCCCAGCACTGGATTTCCCACAATGGCTAGCCCCAGGCCTGGAGTTCCCACAATGCCTTGAAGCAGCGCTGCAAGCACTGCATTTCCCACCACAGTGGCTCCCGGCTCTGCGATCCCTTTCAGCCGGTACAAGTGTTACCAGGTATAGCTCAGCATGCAGTCATCCCTACGCCAAAACCTACGAACTGAAACTTTCACCTCTCCTGGAAGGCTTCGTCTCATACTGGCCCCATCTCGTACAGCTTGGCTGGTGCCACGTTCCTTCCAAACAAACCATGTCAAGCATCAAATTCAAGAAATGGTCTTCGACTGGAGGACATCCACTAGTCTCGGGCGTTTCTGATTGCAGCAAGTTGGAACGAGTGCGGGTCTTTGTTTCGTTCCTGAACAGTTGCAAACTCTTAGACGTTGTCCGTCGAGTGGAGAAGACTTTCACCTTTGGTAAAGGAGACCGCACATTTGAATGCATGTGGACGCACTTCTGTATGGAATTGCAGTTTGGAGACCGCTTTGCAATCCTCGAACGCACCCAAGACGGCGTGATGTTCACCGAGAGAAAAATCGACTCTAGCTCTGAAGTGGAAACGTGGACCGGGGTTCCTGATGATCATGTGACTTTTGGTCAGATCATGGATTTCTATGAAAAGGAATTGGGATCTCCCTACAAGTTCACCAGCAAGAACTGTAAGCACTTTGCTTACGATTTCTTTCGGCGGATTATGCGCCAACAGGAGAACCTTTACTTTGGAAAATTCTGTCGAGGCCACGAAGATGTGTTCAGGTGGAAGACAAGCTGATTCCCTGAGCCACCTCCGCAACAGGTACGGGCGCAACATTGGAGTCCGACAGCTTTTGAATTCTGCACCGTCAAACTGAACTACGCTAGCAGCTGCCGGCTCTATCTCTTTTAGATAGTCCTCCTTCGCGGGTATGTACCAGTACGTTCAAAGCTGGTTGGCTATAGTTATCCACTTTTCTACATATATCCCGTGTTCCGGCCTACAAGAAGAGACCTTCCATGGCTCTTCTAGCACACGTCGTTCCATTGTTGCGTCAATCAATCATAAAGCAATCACTTCTGCGAAGGTGGGCAGTTCTTCTTATGTACTCTCCAGTCGACCTTCTGGTGTTCCTTGCAACAGTAGTAGATAAGCTTGCAACGTGAGCACCTCAACTCGGCCTGCAGCCCACAAACTCCACAGAGATTCTCTTTGGCTTCAACCAAGCCGTCGCACGATCTCACATGGCGAAACTTGTCCTTGTCAAGACATCGGTGGGAGCAGTAGCGAATTCCGCAGGTTTTGCAGGCGACTGGGAGCTCTCCTGTCTCCTTGTCAACCCAAAGAGCCACAGGGGCAGGTTGGTTGCAAAAGTTGCACTTGTGCTTGGCCCCAATGGCCATGGTTTCGACACAGGCAGAGTCTGACAAGATCCCAACACGGTGGTGCCCTGCCTTAATATCCATCTCTCCTTCTCCAAAGTTCATGCTGACTTGTACGACCATCGTCGTTAGATACCCATTTGCTGCAGGGTTTTTAGACACAAACATTGGATTTGCCACAAAACTGACAACGGCCCTTGTGACTCTGGACAGAAACTTCCAACGATCACAAGGGGCAGGACTATTGGCGTTTTTCATCAATTCTCGAAGGAGAGCCTCTTCGTCGTGCATAATTTGGCTACTGCAGCCCTTGTGACGGTTCCAACTGGGCCAGACCGCTCCTAGAGGATCATTTTGTGCGAGTGGCAAACCCAGAGATGTCACAGCATCCACCGTCCCCAAGGACACCCTTAGTGGCAGTAAAACAAGCAAATAGTAAGAGTGGGAAGGGACGCAAACAAGAAGCAGAATTGTTGACTTCGCGCTGCTTCTTACACCTGAGGTCCGAAGTAGTCGAGCTTATCAACATAGTGCTCAAAATCCATAACACGGCCCAAATCTTCCTCGGCGGAGTAAATAACCAAGCCACGGGCATCGTAATCGGAGTGTCCACAAACTCGGACATATCCTGACTTGCCCGTCACTTTGTCTTGGCAGTAGAGGTATTCATTCGTGGACAAGTAATCCCAAACTCGGGCTTCGTGGAATAACTTGGCGCTCTCATAAAGCTCCCGAAGATCGGCGGATGAAGCCTCTTGAAGGTTCCTTCGTTGGACTGGATTGGTGTGCAGCATGTAAGGAACGGCATAGTAGCCACCGGCTTCGGTTGCCATCTGGGGTGGATTGTACCCTGGTTGATCCATGATCCGGTCAAACTTGGAATGGAGGGAGTTGACAATGCCATCCATTTTGGTCCAAAGAGCTCGATTGTTTTCAGGGTCCGTTGTAAAGTTTCCTGCGAGGCTGCCTGGTTGGTTCTCTGGAAAGTCCGTACACTTTGGGACAGCAATCTGCACCCCAACAGGGACAAAGACATCCTCTAGCTTGGTGGCAAGGGAAAGAGTTTGCGAAAGCCGAAAGCGACCAACAGAAGGACAGCAGACGAGCCTTTTGAGGCGACACTTCACGTTCTTCATCAGATCAGCCACGCAAACTAGTACGCCATCTACAGGAGGGGTTCCTCCAAAAGCCCGAGCTTCCCGTAGATTGTACCCGTCCATAATGTAACAGTAGAGCTGTTTGGGAGGTCGAAGGATGACAAGGAACACAATTCTCGTTTCCGTGGGGCCGTTCCATCGAGACCCAAATCGAACGAACAAGTACCACTGTTCGGCCTTCTTATTGTTTGTGTCACGCTGAAGTTGAGACAAAGAAGCCAGGGCAGTTTCTTTGCCAAGCAGCCCTTCAATGCATCGAATCTCACAAGGCACAGCCGCCTCATTCTTTGGCACTTTAATTTTCTTGTGCAGGTCAAAGCTGCCCATCAACCGGTGCGGTGCCATGGTTGTTTCTTCTGGAGACGGGATCCTCTACCAGGTACCACTTCGAAGTGAAGCAGGAAAATGAAGGGGTTGCCTCTTTTGCCTCCTCCCTCTCAAAACCCGTTTCTCTTCAAAATGTGTGTCATGCAGTAGCCGTGTCATTGGCCGTGTGCATGGCAAGGGGCTGGCTTTGATTTCGATTTCGCTTTTGCTTTTGCGACAGGTTAGGTTTTATTCGAATCCGGATTAGGGTTAATTCGAACGCATCAAATCCGCCCGATATGCATGCATGATCTCATCGTGTCGAGGCCCCAGCCGAGTATAACGACAAGGGGATAGATGGCAATAGCTAGAGAATGCAATACCTCATGATACCATAGTCAATCATTCCTCGGAGGCTTTTATCGAGTCCAAGTGATTTAGTTTAATCTCCTTGGCTTTGGCTGGAAGGTGTAGATTGACCCAGATTGACCCAGACTTAGCAAGGATAGTCTTTCCGGTTTCCAAGCAATGCAGTTGAGTCTGATACTCCACAACCTCTGATTCTGTGTCGGCAGTCAGAGAGAGGGAACCACAGCTCCTGGGCAATTTGAAGCGTTTGGGCCCGGCACTTCCTGGGTTTATAAAAAGAACGCCGTTGTATTCGTGACAACCAACCAAATGACTATGCCCGTAAATGACAACTTGCGCCCGGAATTTTTGAATGATGGCCCAAGCGCCCTCGGTCACTCGAAGGCTCCCATCTTTCATGTTTTTGATTCTGGCATTGTCAGGGACACCGTCACCATGCAACACCAAAATTCTAGTGCGAGTTTCTGGGACGGTATACAAAACTGATGGAGGTAGGTTGCACTGATACTTCTTGGGGAGAGCATCGTCTACATTTCCTCTACACGCCACAACTCGTTTGCTGTTTTTGTTGTCATTGTCGTTAACGATCCTCATGGACAACACGTCAAGAAGATCCTGGGGTTTTAGCCTCCCGGCTCGTTTGTCGCCGACGTCTTCCGCATGAATCACCACACGACAGGAAGGTAGTCCAGCCAAGTATTTCACGGCGCTTTCCTCCAGGACGCCATGGGTATCGGATATGAGACCGATCCGCACGCGTGACAACTCTGGCCTCATTTCTTTCTTGGCGGATGGAAATTTGTCATTGTTGTTGTCTTCCGAATCGCTTCGTTGTCTCTTCTTATTTGGGCTCTTCATGCTCGCTTCAGATGACATTGTGTCCTTGTTCCAAGGGTGAATGTGAAACGGTGTCTTGGCTATTTCAACAAGGTCAAGTGTCTGGTTTCTGCTTGCCTCCGTTTGTCTCTTTCCTTTGGCTTATCTTGGCTTAGTTTGGTCTTGCGGGATGGGCCAGTCGGCTGCAAGTTTCTGTCCACGAAAGTGATCACCGTGGGAACGCACCGTGGAACAATCCTTCGATGGCTATGGCGGGTATGCATACTGCTATTAGTACCGCCTTGAGATTTTCCTGCACTCATTTCATGATTTGCCACGTTGAGATTTTCCTGCAAACATTTCCCATTCATTCTCTCATTCGCATTGATAGACTGCATTGTCGAAGAAAATGGTTTTTCCTACACGACTCTCCCCACGATGGCTGATTTGCATTACACTCTTGTTCTGTGCCAGCGCCAAGGCTTCTGGAGTTCCATGGCACAAGGATAGTTATCTTGATCCTTTTGGAACCAATCAACAGCTCCCTCCAGTCACAGGTTTGCCAAACTCGCGTGTACTTGTCAAGGAGAAAGATAGACCCTCCATCTTCAAGAAGAAAAAAGTTTCTAAAGAATCGCCTTACAAGGCTGCTTGGAAACACGAGATCAAAGCCTTTCTTCAAACGGGGGTCCGCGCAGGACGACTTGTTGCTCTCGCGCCCGCCATTTCCTTCTTAATCAAAAACTCGCCTTCCATGGATCCTCTGTTTTTTGGGATTCTACTCCTTCTCGTTCACCAAGTGGACAACTCTGTGGCCAAGTTGATTCCGAGGCAATTTGCGGCTACAACAACCGCTTCTCTCTTGGCCTGGTCCTTCTTGATTTTCTTTGTATGGCGTTATTGCATTCTACATCTTTTTAATCAGCTACGGCGTTAAAATGTGTGGCCAATAGAACTAATCTTTTTAGCGGATCATTGAAGCCTCCAATAGTACCAAAGCCAGCTAGGTGCCTGTCGGCACGAGGCATATCTTGCTAGCTAGATAGCCAGCTTTTGTATCTTAGCAGGGTGACTTGGCAGGCCCCTTCCCTGCTCACGGGATAGCGGTAGATTGGATTGATCATTCGATTCGATTCAAAATCTCGAATCAATCGAATCGAATCCAGTGACGTGCAAAGGGTGGTCCAGCAGCCGGTACAGCTGCGATTACAGTAAGATTGGGCGTTCTTTGATTCTGACCAAAGCAACGGCAGCAGTTCCTCGATGGTGCAGCAAACGCGGCAACAACCGCAGAGTGGTCAACTGTTTTTATCAACCATGGAACAAAAGTTCTTGCCTTTTCAGATGCTCGGCCTTCTTTTAGAAACCATAGACAATAACAACTTAATGAAGATGTCTCCAACAAAGAGGATTCGGAGGAGCAGTTCAAGGTTCCAACAACAAAGGCAGTTCAAGGAAGTTCCAACGACCAAGGAGGGAGAACTGGTACCGGTACATGTGCGTTGGTACATGAGTACGATGATAGTACGATGTACTGGCTGCTGCACCTCCAGCAGGTAGCTGGGTAGTACTCCGGAGTACTCAGATTGTTGACCATAGATAGGAGCCTACTAGTAGAGCTACTCTACTGTAGCTACATGTAGCACTAGCTAGCAAGCTAGCTAGAGTTAACTTGTTACCTTCTGCCAACAGTCAAACTGGTTTCATCAATCCGAACTCACGGACCCTTTGCTATCAACCAAAATCGGAACTTACGGGATCTTTTGTTCATCAACCGAAAGCTTTGCTTCTGTCCACCGTTCACCGTTGGAAAGAAGTCATCAGCTGTGAATTGATTCAAGTGCTGTGGTCGTCTCCGTTGGCGGAAGACTCTTGTAAAGTTCATGGACAACATTGCTGCATGTGAGGTGGAGCTGATGGTAGCTACTAGCTACTGTACCTTGAAGGCCTTCCCGTGACGACTCGACTCGACTCGACAGGAAATGGCCGTAGTACCTATGGTCTGGGCGGATATCCTATGTTTTGATTCCGAGTATTAATACTAACGAAACAAGTAGAACTATGTATGTATCAAGTATCTTAGCCGCTGACCATGAAGTGGGGGCTTTCGCTGCTGACATTCCAAAATTGCACCCAAAACTGCTTTGATCTTCCATGGTGGCTATCTCGTTGCTTGTGGCGACGTCTACTTTCTGTCTGCCTGTGTGTTTGTTGTCTTTTTACTTCCTTGTTGCCTGCTGCTTGTGGATGACACAATCTCTGAGGATCTGTTCTCGTTCTTGCTGTCCCTTGCTGCTGATAACTTGGAGGAACTCTTCCATCTGCCCCAAGTGATCATTCATGGAGAAGGATGCATCCAAAGAGCTGGCGTTGCTGGAAGTACTGATGCGTCTTGTACTGACACTGGAACGCATCAAGCTAGCACCAGAAGCTCTCTTGCTAAAGATAGAGTTGTTGGTTCCAGTGCTCTCACCATTGTCGGGCAGTGTGGGAAGTCGGGACACATTGTCGTAAGTGGCGTTGCGGCGCATTCTCATGGGATGCTTCTTGGAACTGGGAGCCAAAGTAGATGATCGACGCATCCTTCGACTCGATGGGCTCTTCTTGGAAGGACTCAGCATGTCTTCTGGCATGACAATAGAGGCATGAGTGGCGGCAGGATCAGAGAAAAGGCCCATCGTGATGATCTGGATCTTCCAGGAGTAAAGACAAGGCAGCAAACTTTTGAAACTGTGAGGATTTGATTTTGTGAGGGCAGTGTTTTGTGGGAGCCGAGGAGTATTTTACAGTATTGGTACTGTTAGAGTAGTACGTACTCGAGTACTCGATGTAGCTACCGGTGCTCTAGTAATAGCAGCTTTTTAAATTAAAGCTTGGCAGATCAGCTACTCAGCACTCTAGTATGTACTTTTAGTACTCGAGTACCTTGTACCTTGTACCCTACCAGCAGGTAGCTGAGACAGATCCATTGAGATGGTGTGATGGTGTGAACTACATAGATTGAACACCAACGTACTGAGTACTTAGAACACTGTGAATCTCTTGACATAATTAATTAAAAGAAAGAGTCTTGGCTAGTCGCACTTTCTCAACAAGAGTTTTTTATTTATTGAGACTGCTAGCTAGGTTCCATTGTTCCATTGATAAAAGATTTGGGAAGATCGACTGACTTGGCTGTCGAGCTGTCGAGATAGACTAGGGTAACTTATGGATCAACCCGTCACACCCCGAGAGCTACATGTGCTGCTTGTAGAAGCCTCACCCCTGGGACCTGGGAGAAGGTGGGGTTGGGTGTTCATCAATTGCGTAGAAGAATGTGAGTTGTTTGGTGATTGTAGTGGTGGATTCACAGAGAGACCAATCGTGAAGGGGGGGAGGGCAATGGTGGACTCTTAGGTGTTCGTTTGTGAGATATCCAACGGGGGCTGCGAGGAACTCGGTGTTGTGTGCTACCGCAGAGTCGAAGGCTTGAATGCGTTGTTCTTGTTTGAATGCTACGATCACAATCCAGTTGCTTTTTAAAAGCGACATTGACTTCAAAAGAAAAGTTTGTCGAGCGTAAAAATCTCTTGCCCTGGCCTGGCACTCGTCGGGACCAGTTTTGTGTTCAGCAGGTGATTCATGGAGAAGGATTTGAATGCAAAGTTGGGTTGGAGAGTTGCAAAACGGGATGCTTGGAGAGCATCCCGCACAAGTAGGAGCAGCAGGAATCCATGGATGGCCTTGTCTGAAAGCCATGTTCCAGGGCTGAGAGATTGCGTTACGTTAGGTACAGTTACGCACTAGTTACTACATGTATGAAAACAGACTTTTTGAACTTTTCTATGGATACTGTTACTTCCAGTTACGCGTCACTACGTGCAGTTACGCATGTAGCAATTTGCCCCATACCCCTGAAGTATACTATCCGTCACCGTTGTGCACAAGTTCTTGATCTGGCCGTCATTCTCACGTGGCACAAACTGAACTACAAATAATGATTGATTCGATTCGATTCCCCAGCCACTTGGAGTCTTATTGTCGTGAAGGTCTGGGGGCTGAATTTCTCCAGCGCCATCCCATGCCGATCACGGTAGCAGCCTGACATGTAATAATAGAATTCTATTTTAAGGCTACTAGTCTAGTACTCTGAGTACGACTGCATGTCCACGGTGAACATTACAGCACATAGCTACTTGTGTAAATGTGCAAGTACTGGTACCGGTACGATGGTACGATAGTACATCCATTTTTTCCGAGTCCTAAGTCATCTTGCGGTGGTTCCAGTGTTCCAGTGGGTGGTTCGTATACCCGTTCAAGGTAAACTCGGTTCTTCTGTTTGGTGCTCGAGTCTGACCTGGTTTTGTCTTGCTCCTACTGTATTGACATTCTGATGCGGTGGTACTTTAGTCATCTGATGTTCTCTTGTACCTGTAGGATCCCGCCTTTCTGTTGGTCTGTCCAGAGACTTTTTCATTCCAGCGTTCAGACAGGCTGTCAGAAGAGTGCTCGCAAAAAGTCCTTTGCTGAATGAACGTGCCATGCTGGAGTCTCCAGTTCTGCCCATTCCGAGGAGCCCGAATCTTCTTCTTCCTCCCCCCAGAGAGCATTTTGTGCGGGTGTCTCCTGTTCCATGGTACCAGTACAGGCAAGTTTAGTTCGTGGGTGTTTGTGCTGTCTAACTTTCTTCCGCTGCTCACTGAGAACGTGCCATTGCATTGATGGCCGGCTACATGAAGATCGACGGCTCGACTCGTCACTGATATCGGTTTCGTCCCACATGAGGCTCTATCTATTCTTTCTGTTCATGAGTATCAAGCACATGATCACTATGGCTCGTCTTCGATGCCGTCGGCCCTGACTTTGTCTCGGCTCAAAGATGGTCCCTTAGAGCATGCGCGCTCGATGTTTAAACGAGTGTTTCATAGGCTTCCTTTTCTACAGTAGACTCATGCTTGTCTCTGACCATGCTGGTCGCTGAAGATACGGTAGATTGCCCCTTTCAAGACCACTTAGCTCTATGATCATACTGTACAGGGAATTCAACCACACGTCTTGTCGCTCCCAAGTTCCTCAAATGAAGGCCCAACTCCCTCTGCGATGTACGTCTGTCATGCATGCATTCGTGTGATCTCTCAAAAGTGTGCACTCACTGCAATGATCATGAGGCATAACCTCAATATCTCTACAATGCTGTCGTTACACTCTTCCTCTCAGAGTTCTTCGTGTGGTGCCTTACTATCACTTTCTTCGTCCGTAACAACCTCATCTCCCCTTGCGTCGCCTCCTTCGACACCCTCGTCTCCCTCTTTCCCATTCTTGTTCACATTCTCAACACCAACTTTGCCTCTCTCATCATCTTGCTCAACCTCATCCTTTTGTTCACCTACGTAGTTTGAATGATCCTGCTCATTGTCGCTACTGCCACCGCAAACGTGTTGTTGTTGTTGTGGCGGCCCCCAAAAGTACACTGCATCCGATGCTTTGTCCCGTTCCAACCAATCCGGACTGTGCTGTTTCATGCGACACAAACACTCGGGCAAGCTAGTAGGATGATGTGGCGGCATAGCCTGCAATCGTTCTCGAAGTTTATGATTGTTGTCGTCGTCACTGTTGAGCAGCAGCAGCAGCAAGTTCTTAATGACTCCCGCCGCCGCCCATGGGACAATGGACGGGGATCTCAAATGGGGCGAGTGCGTGGTCGGTGTCAACCCTTTCCACAGCTTTGCGTCTCCGGGCCACCCGTAGGTTTCATTGATGGGTGCATGAATGGGTCCCACGAAACAGATCCATTCCGCCAATGTCTCGAGTAGATTGGGAATGGCCAGAATTTGGTGCCGTGCTTGATGTGCCAATTCTGGTTGTTCCAAACTGTCATTTCGATCTTTCAGTGCCAAAACTGGATTATTATCATTGTCATTGACGTTCTGCTGCCACTCCCACGTACAGGTTCCACCGTTGTTGTGACAATAATGGGCCGCCAAGTTTTGGAGTGCGGCACATGCCCACATGACGGCATGAGCCGGTCGATAGGGGAATTCTATAATACTTCCGTTTTGGAATGCTTTGGGTCGATTGGTGACAATGATATCTCCCAAGACTTGAATGGTATTGTGTTTTAGAAAGTTGTGAATGTGGGTTGGATGATGAAAGGAAGCAATCCAAACCGCTTCGGCGGCTTGTGCCATGGCTGTGACAGCCTGTCGATCTTGGTGTTTTTGATAATAGGTGATTCCTTGTTGCAGTAGATCCGTCAATCCCTTGGCAAGTGACAACTCTATTGTAGTATCAGTATCGTTGTTGTTGTCGTCTTCGCCTACTAGTAGTTGTTTGTGCATAGTACGGAGATTTTGGAAGAGTGTGGCATTGGCCGCCAAATCTCTATACTGCGGTTGATTGGTCAAACAAAGTGCCACGGCTTCGGCCGCCATGCCTCGTTTTTGCAAACTGACTTTTTGTTTGCCACGGGATTTTTGCGATCGTCGTCGTCGTCGTCCACCGCCATGGCTTGCACAGAGTGTCAAGAGCAACGATGCCATTTTGGGGGGACACCACGTGTCTTGCTGAGCTACTGTCGCTGGTGTTGGATGCGGTCGTACCAATCGATAATCGTTGGATCGCAACACAAGAACGAGACGCGCCAATTCTTTGGGGGGAATCAAACGAGGACGGGAATCCGTGGGATCAGCCTGTTTGGCCAGAGCTTCTTGGTGCCGGATCAATACCAACAGCAAGACAATCATAGCGGCAAAAAAGGCACACCACAGCAGCGCGGTAAACCAATACAGACTCTTTGTTCCGACGATTGTATCTGTATCTGTATCACCATCAGGATCAGTAAGAGGAGGACTGGAAGACCGACCTGGTCGTCGCCGATCCACAGAAGAGGAGGAAGAAGGCGACGGCATCATGCATGAATGTAAGATATGGTGACTTCTACAAACACTATTACTGGTGGTACGTAGTTGTTCAAGGATCGACAAGCACAGATAGATGTGAAGTTGGATCTGTAAGCTGGGAGCAAAGATATAAGCTGTTTGAGCTGGTGAAAAGTGTTTCCAAATTTAGGACTCAATAGAATTCTATTTTAAGGCTACAGTACTCTGAGTACCACTTGTCCACCGTGCCGCTACCCTAAACCGATAACCCCCACAAACATTGGGACGGAGAGAGTTGGCCCCCTTAGCCGGGAAAGTTTAAAACCCAACAGAGGCAAGATATTAAGAGGGAAGGTCACCAACTGGACCCGCCCGTGCTGCTGCTGTCATCAGCACTGCTACTAGCTAGCTGCACTGTCGCTGATAGTGTCAACGCTGCTGTCGTCTCAATCTAGATCAAACCCGAAAGCCTGGTCCAAAGTTTCTGCTGCCTCGTGGAAGGCTGCGGCCAGTTGTTGCTGCTCTCTGCTTGCTCTGTCCACCACCGGCATCCATTTTGAAAGCCAGGCTTTGATATCGGACGGTGCCATTTCCATTTGGTCCTCTAGCTAGCTAGCTAGCTAGCTAGAGTGGCCTTTTGAAGATGGAGTTTACCATGCCCATGCCTGGCTTTCCAATTAAATAATGGCTCTGCGGAAGCAGGACAGAACCAGTACCCCGGAAAAAGAGTTAAAGCTAAGTACATGTAGCACGTAGCTAGTACCGGGACTACATGTAGTACGGCTGAGGGCTGAGATGTGGCACTGCTAAGTACAGTACTTCTTCAGAATCTGAAATGTTTCGTAATTGATAATGCTTCTGTTCTTACATGCTGTTCCGTTCTATTGGCGAGCATTAGGGAGCTTGGTCAGTCATTCTAAAACGGCATATGAGAGTTATTGGTGTCGAGTCTTGGGAGGACATCTATCTGAGTACGGCGGAATTAAACGTCGTAGGTTGATTAGAGACCAGAAAGCTGGACGTTAATGCGTTTCTACTCCAAATTTTCTACTCGGTGACTGCTTTCCGGTCATTTACTGGGTAATTTTCACCAGTGGTTACCCTTGGAGAATTAGAGTGAGCCCTTTTCGAGCGAAGTTTCACAGTTCTCCCATCAACACAAACCTCTCCAGCCACGGCATGCCTTTGGCTCTCAAACGCTTCAGCCGCTGCATGCAATGCACTCGATCCTCGATCCTCGATCTGCAGCGTTTATCACATCCATATAGCCGACACCCACTGCTATCCACGATCTCGAGATAGTCCACTCTCATAACCACATCGTATAACCTCTACTGCTTCACGTTCTTGCATCCTCGAGCTCTGAGATCGCAGGCACAAGTCCTGCCCATTCTCGAATAGAATCAATTTGATTGACGTATTAGCGTCGCGTTCTCCGTCCCGATTTCTTCTACTCAAGTACTTGGAGAACTCAACAGATGCGGCAGACGACTTCTCCGGCGTCAACTAGGTTTTAAGAATCGATTTTTACTATGGTTTCAGAAACAGAAGAAAAAGAACCCGAAGTTGATTGGGGATCACCATCACCACATGGGTCTAATGCTCCGACCTCTCCAGAAGAGCCACAACATGAAACATCACAGTCCCTGTTTAATGATGCAGCGAACCAGAGCTTCACTTATTCTGCAGAAGAAATGGGTGTAAGCTTGGCGTCTCTACAGAGCCAGTCAATCGGGAGCAACAACTTCAAGGGTGTCCAGTTTGAGCTACAGGAGGTAGTAGCAGAACTAGACGAAGCAGAGTCCAACAGTGAGTCGGCCGGTTCGATTGATTGGGACCAGATTGGACGAGATGGTCGTAACAGTTTTACCAAGAGCACTTTGACTCTATACAATCTCTGTTGGTGGCTATTCAAGTGGCCAATCCTTCTCATCAGTTATCTATTAGATGCCTTGGGGTGTAAGCGATTGTTGGGCTTAGATGAGCCCGATGTTGCTCCTGGGCCTCTAGCAGTGGAGGCCGCTCCGGCAGTCCAAGGAGCAACACTTGCTACTGCAACTGCTGTGGCAATGGCAGCTGGCATTGCCATCACTGCTGCAGTGGTGGCCACTAGGACTCCCGGTGCAATCCCACCAGCTGACATCTACTCCAGACCTTTCTGCAACAGCTCCTCTGCTGATGATTATGAGGTCAAGACGGGCATTACACGCATAGTTGTGCAGAACGTTACTCCCAAGGAGGTCAATGCCAACAAAGACAACCTGGAAGAGGCATTCCGTGACATCTTCAATAACCAGACTGATGGATGTGATGATGAATATGATCGTTTCATGCTGGGCAATGAACTGTTAGAGGCAGAAAATATCACAGCAGGAGACATCCCTTTGACACTCACCATCTGGGAATCCAATGTCAGCTGCAACGGCTGCCCAGATAACAACCCCCTCTTTGATGAGGGTCCAACTAGAGGTCATCCAAACGAGGCAAACGACGATACAGAAATCAATCTAAGGTTCCATGATTTGGTTACTCGAATGTCACAGGAGATTGCCGCTACCATCGATGACACCTCTAAGAAAGTGGATGGTCCTACCCTAACCCACCCACAACAATCCACACCCAAGACACGGAATACTCCCATTGTGTATATTGATGCTGTAGATCCAAACAACCCAGATGTGATTGTTGAAAGCCATGGAATCATGCCAGATGGGATGATTGACAGCCAAGGAACTATGCCAGAGAAGATGGAGGTTCCCAGCAAGGAGATTCCTCCCATTACAAGCAATATTCCAGAAAACAGTGGTAGAGGCAATGAAACAGCGCCGAATGACCAGGAAACCTCAGTTGCTACTCATGAGGACCAGCCTACTGCTACAACTGCAAACATTTCGGCCCCGTCAACTCCAAACCTGAACGATAACCAGGCACCATCAACCAAAGACGACAACCAGGCACCATCAGCTTCAAATGGGAACCATGAAAACAACCCAAGTAGTACACCCACAACCAGCAACAACCCAGGCAACCAGGCTCCATCCACCTCAAATGACAATAGCACAGAAGCACCTTCCATCACCAATGATAACAACCAAGCTCCATCAACTGCAAATGCCAGCAGTCAAGCCCCGGCTTCCCAAAACAACAACTATACATCACCAACAGATGCCAGCGGGTCCGCACCTTCTTCCACCACTGCTATTCCTAGTAAGCATATGGGAAACATACCTCTCCCGCCTGCAGCATCTACCAATGCAGCACCAAGTGTTTTCAATGGGGTGCCTGGTAACAACAACCAGAATCCCACAGTTCAGTCAGGATTTAGCAGTCCTCATGGTCGGGATATACCCTCCAATGATCCTGCTGCCTCCATTCCAACAACAGGAGGACCTACAAGTGGTTCTAGAGGACCTGTTGCTGCAACAAGCCATCATAGTGTTCAAAACAACAACTATACATCGCCAGCAGATGCCAGTGGGTCCGCACCTTCTTCCACCACTGCTTTTCCTAGTAATCATACGGGAAACACACCTCTGTCGCCTGCAGCATCTACAAATGTGGTGCCTGGTGAAAACCATCAAAGTCCTACGGTTCAGTCTGGATTTGGTAGTCCTCCTGCTCCAGATATGACCACCAATGTCCCTGCTGCTGCCATTCCAACGATAGGCGGCCCTCCAAGTGTACCTACTGGACCTATTGAGGTTTCCATTTTGGCAACAAGTGGACCCACAATAATACTTCCAAGTTCCTCAGCTGCGCCCACAGGTATCGAGAAACAAACTCTGTCTCCCTCAGCAGTTGAAATTCCCAAATCATTTTCCAACAACGATGGCAATGTTCCTACAGTCTTTCCACCAATACCTGGGACTGCAACACCTCAGCCTACACTCAAAACCACCGTTGAGTCTACCCTTGCACCATCACCACAACCCACTTATGAGCCCACACCTCAACCAAGTCCTGATCCAACTCCAGAGCCAACTGTCCAACCCACCCCTAAACCAACCAATGAACCCACACCTGAACCTACACAAGAACCAACCAATGATCCCACCGCCAGAACTACCCAGCCCACCCATGAACCAACCAATGAGCCCTCCCTGCAGCCTACACAAGAATCAACAGATGAGTCCACCAGTAGAGTACTCGAAACAAGTCATGTTTTTGTTGTCCTCACTGGAGAAACACCAATCAGTGGCAATCTACCTCAGGGCCCTCTTGTTTCAGCCCTTGTTGCTGCTACCATTGACTCAACCAACTTGGAAAACAATCAGATCAATGTCAATGACATATCAGTTGCAGCACAAACTCAACTCAGCGAAACATACAACATTGTGGCAATTGACTTTGCTGTAAATGACAACCAAGAGGACAACATTGTGGAGCAAATTCTATCTCAGGACAACTCGCCAACCTTTGAATCTATGCTTACCGACAGAATCACAAACCAAGGGCTTGAGGTAGTGGATGTCTTGGAAACGTTAGATGACTGGAATATGGTCGAGGAAGCCTTCTTTGTAACTTTTAATGGGACAACAGGAGGCCTTTTGGAGATTCATGATCTTGGCGAAGTCTTAATCAATTCATACGAATCCCTGAATCTGGATGCAGGGCCAGTCATAGTTGGGGTGACTGTCGTGGGAGATACACCCTTGCAGGGTGGTATGATTGCAGTTGAGTACAGTGTCTCATCGCGTCCTTCGGGGATTGCCACTATCTTGTTGGATGATGAACACACTCGGAAGGTCGTCCAAGCAACATCAACAGCAGTAGCATCCAGTGGCGCTCAGGCTGTTGCCGTGCTTGGTTCGCTTACAGCTGAAGTTGTTGGGTTTGTGCTCGTGAATGCGGATACTGGTAATGATGTTAGAGAGATTACCGATGGAGACGTGATTGATCTCCATGATGTCCGCCGCCAGCAAAATTCTCGAATGTTGCAGAATCAGCCAGTCCCCAACCTAAACATGCGTGTAATCACAAAACCAGTAAGGCTGGAGGGTGTAACTTTCTATGAGAATGGTGCCATGATGGGGACTGAGACTGTGTACCCTTATTGCTTGGCAGGACAAGATGGTGCTGGAAACTATCTCCCCAGCCAAACTCTGGTAACCACAACAAACTCTCTTGTTCTTCGGGCAGTGCCAACTCTTCTTGGCATGCAAGGGATGCCCTTGGAAATCACAATAAGCATTGTGTCACCACCAGTGCAGGAAGACTATTTCATATCCTTCAGTGGGCCTTCATCAGGATGGCTAGAGCCAGATATGTTGGATGCCTTTGTGGGTGTACAGGTTGAACAACCTGTCTTGACTTCAAGTGGAAGCTTTTACTTGGAATTCATAGTGACGTCTAGTCCAGTGGCCTTGGATGATGACCTCATAGTGGCGGTGGCAGAGTTTCTACAGGAGTACAATGTTCAAATCCAGGATACTGGAGCTATTGCTGAGTCATTGTCCTTGTCTTGGACGTTGGATCCGCAGATTCGTTCTTCTCCATCAGCAACCCCCAGTGTTCAACCTAGCTCTTCGCTAAGTGCCAATCCCAGCAACAGCCAGGCTCCATCAGTATCTCCTAGTTTGCAACCAAGTTCATTACCAAGTGCCAGTCCCAGTGAGTTTCCATCATCAACCCCATCATCATGGCCATCCAGAGTTCCAAGCACCAGTCCATCAACACTGCCCTCTGTATCTTTAGCCCCATCATCAAGCCCATCATTGCTGCCATCGACAAATCCAAGCTCTGGTCGATCCTCCATGCCCTCAAAATCTTTGACGCCATCTTCACCTCCATCATTATTGCCATCAGCAAATCCAAGCTCTGGTCCTTCCTCCATGCCCTCCATTTCGGCCATACCATCTACAAGACCGAGCATTGATCCATCCTCAATGCAATCAAAAACTCCTTCGTCAGGTCCATCTCTTCCAATCTTACCATCTATTCAGCCATCGGCCAATCCATCCTCAGGTCCCAGTTTCGGTCCATCTGATGGCCCCTCAACAAGTCCAACCACGAGCCCATATGTGGGGCCTTCCCCATTCCCAAGCACAGGTCCTTCTGGTTCTTCATCCTCAAGTCCTAGTCCTGGTTCATCTATTTCACCCTCCACAAGTCCAAGCACTAGGCTATTATATGGACCATCTGCAAACCCAAGCATCAGTACAAGCAATGCTCCATCATCAACTCCTAGCATGGTTCCACCTGATCTACCCTCAACAAGTCCAAGTGAAAGTCCAACATCCGTGCCGTCCCAAACGCCAGCATCGACACCAACAAACACTCCATCTGCAGCACCTTCAAAGAACCCAACCCTTCCAACACCACAGCCCATGAATCAGCCAACCACCCAACCAACCCAACAGCCCTCCAATCAGCCAACACTTTCCCCCACGAGAGCACCCACAAAGTCCCCAACAAAAACTCCCAGCAATGCACCCACTAGAGCTCCTACTGACCCACCAACAAATTTAACGCTCGGAGTCCCAAATTCTGGGAGACCCCACTCCCAGAATCTGGGAGTCTCACTATTCTCGGCGGCTCGTCCACCTTTAAACCTTGTCACGATGGCAACATCAAACTGTTAGTATAGGTAGTAACCATGGACGACCATGCATCATGCAGCTACCATCGGTTGGTCTGGAGTAGCTTCCGGTATTCTCGGCGGCTCGTCCACCTTTAAACCTTGTCACGATGGCAACATCAAACTGTTAGTATAGGTAGTAACCAATGGACGACCATGCATCATGCAGCTACCATTTCCGTCGATCATCGCTTGTCCACAGCTTCGCATGACAATCGCGCAAACAAGGGATGTTCGATGATGAATGCAAAACCCGAGTAATTCTGTCGGCTCATGACAATCCCCGGTAACATATAAAGTATCGGAGTCCGAAACCCATCTGAATGGGAAAAGGCATGTCCCGAATATCGGTCTGGCCGGTATTGGTCCGGGCCAACTCCTCAATCTTCCCAGCGATGTGGGAAGCAGGTCACCCTCCGCACACTCGATGCCCTTTCGCAGGAGTAGACGTCGGCGCCCCTACCTTGTGGCTCGCATACAACAGATAGCGTTCCCAATGCTGAGCAGGCTCCGACTCCAATCGAACCAAACTTGAGGTAAGGGCTCTCACGTGCTGCCTGAATATACACCAAAACTCCTGGTAACTTTGTTCGCGTTGATGTTTGTTGTACTCGTACTTCTCAGCACCAGGAACGTCGTATTGACCAAAAAACTTTTGAGGAGTTTAAGTGCACACCCTGTTATGAGCAATGCGCAACTGTCCTAACGCCAAACTGTGTCACTGACGATGGTTCACGCAAGAGCCCTGACTCTACATAACCGACAAGAGTGGTTCCTTGGATAACTGGACTTACAGTTTGTGCAACCCATGAGAGCACAATGGCTGTCACAACGCCGCAGCCACAACAAGCGGAAAAGTCGCAGACCAAGGGCTTTAGCGCAGGGAGCCTGGCAGAACGATACCGAAAGTGGCAGTGCCCAAGTCTGGAGCGCGCAAACATGGACCAGAAGAAGAGGGCGACACCCAACAACAGAAACCAGGACGAAGTAAAGGCGTTTTTGAGCGGGGAGAGAAAGGAATCCGAAAGGCAGATGCAACCCTGAGAGCGGGCCAGTGCGGGTGGAGTCGCAGGGAAACGTGTAAAGTGTGAAGAGGACGACGAACTAATACAAAGTGGAAAGAAGGTTTGAGCTGAAGGCCGGAGACCTTTAATGAGAGACACGCACTCACAAACCAATGGGTCATGGTGATAATTCGGGGGCAGAAAGCGATTGAAGATAATGAAAGGTACCGCTAGCGACCGACTATGTCTAGGTAACTCCGCATCAACGGCTGACAGCAAGATACAGAGCAGCACTAGAGACGGCAAGCAATACCGCGTACTAGGTCGTACTCGCCTCCGTTGCACTGACAGATGGACAAGGAAACGGAGCAAGTGGGAGAGCATGATCCTGCTGTGCTTGCCGCTCAGTTGCATTAAGGAGGTTCAACCTCAGGCAGCAATGTGTGATTGGGCACCGACTGGAGCTGCTCTAGATGAAGCGAGGTTACTCAGATTGAAAACCCCGGCCATTCTCCGTGTATTGCGCAGAGATCTATGACGAAAGGCCTTGAGATTGAAACGGCTCCTATTCCCGGCT